GGCTACGGTCTGAGTGTGCCCCACATAGCTTCGCATTCTGGCAGCTTGGTTCTCAGTGTGATGGTGTTGCGAGGTGTGGCTCGTCTCTGAGGTAGGCCTAGGAGAAGGCAGCACCCTTGGAAGGCATTACTTTAGGTCTCCAGGAGTGAGTGAGTTGAGAGAGTGATTGTACAAAGTGAGGCCACCACCTACTCTTGTTCTCTTCTGCAGAGTGCTCTTCCCCGCCATGTTGTGATGCACCAAGGGGCCCTCCCTCCTTGGAACCAAGCTGTTTGGATCCTCTAGGAATCATGAGCCTATGTTACTGGCTTTGAGCACTTTGTTATAGCAACAGAACGTGGACTAATAGATTTCCACGGGTCATGTGCTATACTTTGGATCTTAAATGTCCCCCAAAAGTCCACGTGGTAAAGGCTTGGCCCCCAGAATGGCACTAGTGAGACGTTGTGAAACCTTTAAGAGGTGGAGAGCCTAGTGGAAGGTCTTCTGTGTCTTTGGGGATGTGCCTGGATCTTTGCTCTTCCTTTCCTTTTCACTTCTGGGCCACTAGGTGGGTTGTTTTGTTCTGCCACACACTCCATGGGGCCCCAGGGGCAACCAATCTTGCACTGAATCCTTCAAAACTGTGAGCCAAGATAAACCTTTTCTCTTTGTAAGTTGATTTACCTCAGGTATCTGGTTCAGTGACAAAGCCGACTGACACACAACATGCGTTTGGGGGGTGGGAATCCTGGGAGCCCCCTTAGAATTTTCCCTACCATAACACATTCTACACTCGAGAGATTTGATTCATAAAGTCTCACCATTTATTAGACTAGATTGGTTCACAATAGGATCTTTTGATCTTTTCAACTTTGCCAAAATATTCTCTCACTAAAGATCTATCTTTTTTCAGGGCGCTGGGTACCAGGGATTGAACTCAGGGGCACTTGACCACTGAGCCACATCCCCAGTCCTATTCTGTATTTTATTTAGAGGCAGGGTCTCACCGAGTTGTTTAGCACCTTGCTTTTGCTGAGGCTGACTTTGAACTCACGATCCTCCTGCCTCAGCCTCCCGAGCCACTAGCATTATAGGCATGTGCCCCTGTGCCTGACTCCCACCAAAGATCTATCTAAGACTCTCAGTGGTCCATTACATGTGACAAAGGGTAGGGAAATTGGTGTTCCAAAGCTGGTGTTATCTAAATTGTCAAGGCTTTTCAACTTAATCTGTGTAAATGAGCATCACAGAGAAAAAAGGAAAAAAAAACTAAAGTAGCAAGTTTTTGATTTCTATTTTTTGGTACTGGGGATGGAATCCAGGCACACTCTACCACTGAGCTATATCCTCAGCTCTATTTTTTAATGTTTTATTTTGAGACAAGGTCTCACTAAGTGTCTTAGTGCCTTGCTAAGTTGCTGAGGCTGACCTTGAACTTGTGATCCTCCTGCCTCAGGTTCCCAAGTTGCTGGGATTACAGGCATGCGCCACTGTACCTGGCTTATTGTAGCAATTCTTTATGTTTGTTAAAAATAAGAATTAAAAGATGTATGTGTGCAACTATGTTCTACGTAACAACGTTTGTGCTAACAACAGACGGCATTCATGACAGTGGGCGAGAGGGTGGTGGTGGGATCATATCACCTACCATCTCTGTGCAAGCACACACCGTGATGTTTGCACAATGAAGAAAATCACCGAACAACCCATAACTGAGACCACCTCCTCTCCCTCCACTGACATACGACTGTGCTTTTGTCTGCCTGGTGAACACACATGCACACACAATCAGAGACACGCGGAAATACACGCGTGCCCCACATGTGCCCACAAGTGGAAGTGGCTAGGGGTTTCCTGTTCTCCAAAAGAGGCGAGGGCTTCAATTGACCATTTGGGAGAAAACTGAAAGTGATCCTTGAAATTTAAATGGAGTTTAGGAGAGGAGAGGGTACTGCAAGCTAAACCTGTTGGTGTAACTTAATAGCACTCATGCCACAGATTCCCGAGGCATGACGTGAAGCCCCGCTGTGAGATGGACTGTCCAGATCTGGAGGCCAGAGAGGGTCCAGGCGTCTTTGCTGCTGTTCCTGCAGAACTCCCCGAAATTGAGCACAATCCCACTCTGGGCTGGGAGCCAGGTGTCCTTGAGCTTTATCCCTCTCCCCAGCGTGTCTCCTCTGCTTGACCTCCTACAGACCCCCCCTTCCACCCCTTTCCCCACCTCCACTCTCTCATGGTGCCAGGTGACTGTGGTCTTTTCCTAAATGATGAAACAACCTTCCTGGGCCCCCTCCAACCTCTCCCTGCAGAGCAGCCTCAGGGATCACTTCCAAATGCAAACCTGATGGTTCAGGCGTCTCCGCTCAAAACCAGGCACAGTTCCCAGCACCAGTGCTAAGACCAGACGCCTAACTCATCCTACAGCTGCGGGGTCTGCCTGCTCTTGCCCCCAGATCACTGATTTTCCTGTGTAATCTTTTTCCCTCCTCTCTGCAGTCTGGGAATGCTGATTTTTTTTTTCTTTCTTTTTTTTTAAAGTTCTTTAAATGTGCTGTGCTCCCTCCCACCTCCGGGCCTTTGCATGGTTGTTCCCTTTGGCAAATGCCCAGGCATGTTTCAGATCTCAAGAAAATGCCATCTTCTCTGGGAAACCTCCATCCCTTGCTAGATGCCGTTAAGCCCCCTGGATAGCAGGTGGTATTTTGTAAAAATAGTCATGGCAGTATTCCATGTTCCACATGTTATTCCATGATGTGGCTGTTCCCCAAGTTCTGAAGCATGTCTGCCCTCCTCTTGAATTTGGGAGGGATTTTGTAATGGCTTTTAAAGAAAGAATCCAGTGGAAATGATTCTTTGTGACTTCCAAGTCTGGATTGGACAAGCTGATCTGGGTTTTACCTGGCTTGCTCACTCCCTCTCAGGAGAATTGTTCTTGGAACTCAGCTGCTATGTTGTAAAGAAGCCCAGGCTGCACGGGGAGGTCCCTTTAGGGTTCCAGGCAACAGCCCAGCAAGGGGCTCAGCCTCCAGCCAGCAGCTACTGAGATGTGTGTGATGAGCTTTAGAAGACTCCAGCCCTCAGCCTTCAAGGCATCCCAGGGGATACCCAGGGAATGAAGGACGAGCTAGACCCACTAAGCCTGCCCAAACTGCAGAATGGAGAATAAGCATCTCTGTCCCCTTACTTTTCTAAATTTTGGACTAGCTCATGACACAGCATAGTAACAAGAAGTTAGTAATTGTTCCACTTAGACCTTGTATTTGAAGCATTTGTTACATATGAGAGTCTACCTACCTGTGTATGGTTAATTCCTATCTATCCTGAAAGGCCGAAAGCTCTGAAGGTGAATTCCATGTTGATTTTCACGATTCTACTCCTGACACCTAGCAGAGTGCTAATTTCTTCTTAGCCTTCCTGGACCTCTTTGCATATACAACACTTTGTGGGCCGGGGCTGTAGCTCAGTGGCAGAGCGCTTGCCTAGCATGTGTGAGACACTGGGTTTGATCCTCAGCACCACATAAAAATAAATAAAATAAAGGTATATAAAAAAGGTTCCGTTAAAAAAAAAAAACACTTTGCTCACTCACTGAATGATCATTTATTTGATAAATGCCTCACTGATGTGGCTCTGGGTCAGAGATTTGTGTCACAGATGAACCACAGATGAACCATGCAATGATTCTGTACTAGGGACTGTGGGAGGATCAGAGCGGGTGGAAGAAGTTTCTAATAGGGAGAGACATTTGGTTTGTGCTTTGCAGGATGCACATGTATTTTCTGCGTGATGAGGAGACGGGAAGGCACTTCTGACAAAAGGAATGTTGCATGGGGCCAGGAAGTGGGCAATGGGGAGGATGGTCTGCACCAACAGAGGGTAGTTTTTGTAAGTAGAAGATCTTCCCCCCCCCCCCCCCCCCCCCCCCCAAAAAAAAAAAAAAAGGTTTGCAAGGGTCAGGTTCTGGTCACCTGCAATGTGATCTCATCTTATAAGAAATAGGAAGACCTTGGGTATTTGGATGCAGTGGGCAAATGATCTGTGTTCTTAAAACCACCTGGTCTGGGAAAACTGGATGGGAGGCCCGTGATTCCCTGAATTGACCTTGTTGAGAAGTGATGGGGTGAAGGCTAGGGAAGTGAAGACAGGAGGAATGGGGCTAAGAGAAGGGCCCTTTAGTAAAAATTCACAGGGCACAGGGCCCTATATTAGGGTGTTGACGCCCAGATTCTGTTCTCACACCAACCCTATAAGGAGGGGTCTAGAAATCTTTCCCAGTTATTCATTCTGCTGTTGTAGCCGAAAAGCAAGTTGGGCTGGGCTTGGGATGTAACTCAATGGTGAAGGGCTTGCCTGACACGTGTGAAGCCCTAGGTTTGATCCCCAGTATGTAAGTAAAATTAAAAAATAAAGAATATAATAAAAGGTAAAAGCATCACCCGGAGTGGTGGCCTGTGCCTGTAATCCCAGGCTGAGGCAGGAGGACCTCCAGTTCAAGGCCAGCCTCGGCAACTTAGTGAGGCGCTAGGCCACGCAGTGAGACCCTGTCTCTAAATAAAATACAAAACAGGGCTGGGGATGTGGCTCAGTGGTTAAAACGATCACCAAGCATGTGTGAGGATCCGGGTTCCATCCCCAGTACCAAGAAAGAGGGGGAGGAACAGGCTGAGACGCTTGATAAGTGGGTCGGGGTTCCTGTATTCTAGTCAAACTTCATGCAGCACCCCTAAAATGTGAATTTCATATGTCACAAAATAAGGTTTGGATTTTCCCCCAACCATGTAAATATATAAAAACGACTCTGTGAGCTTGCAGGACCGGACAAAATCAGACATCAGGTCTTGGTTTACCTACCTCGGCTTTGTAGACCATTGGTTGAGATTCCAATTTAAGACAGAAGAGCCCCCCCAAGAAGTCCTCTAAAGAGCTCCGCCCACCTCTGACGTAGCCAGGCCCCACCCCCGGGGCGGGGATTACGCATGCGCGACCTGCCTTCAGGCGGGGGCGGGGCGGGCCGGGACTCTGACTTCCAACATGGCGCACGCAGGTAGCGGCGGCGGCAGCGGGGGCTCCGCGGGCCGGGGGCTGAGCGGCGCCCGCTGGGGTCGCTCCGGTTCCGCGGGCCACGAGAAGTTGCCGGTGCACGTGAGTGGCGTCCCCGCGCTCTTTCTGGGATCCTGTCCTCCAGCCCCCGCAGGCCGGCGTCCCTCACCCGGGCCCCGCCCGGCCCTGGCGCGGCTCTGCCTCGGCCTTACTTCTGCGCACCCCGGAGCCTGGACCCTCCACCCCTCACCTTGTCCCCTTGAAGGCCCGCTAGGTCTCCTCAACCCACCAGGGACCCCAACTCACTGTCTCCACCTCCCGCGATCCCAGCCCTCTAGAGCCCTCCCCCTCCCCGCAGGTTGAGGACGCCCTCACCTACCTGGACCAGGTGAAGATCCGCTTTGGCAGTGACCCCGCCACCTACAACGGCTTCCTGGAGATCATGAAGGAGTTCAAAAGCCAGAGGTAACCGTGGAGCCTTCCCCCACTCCCCCCCGGGGAAGCCCCCCAGGGCCTGAATCGGACTAGCAGGGTGGGACTCTCCCCACCTCCTATACCTGATGCCCCCGCCCGCAGCTGGGTGACCTTGTGCAGGGTGTCCAACCTCTCTGAGTTTTAGTTCATTCTGTTTGAAAAAAATTAAAAAAGGGAATGGATAGTACCCACCTTGTGGAGCTGTTGGGATTCCTGGAAGGAGGGCAGGGATGGCGCAGACCTGGGAGGTGAGTCCCAGAAAGCAGATCCTGTCTTTATTTAAAATTTTGAATTTTAAATAAGTTTTGTTCATGAAAGATTCGGAGGGATTAATTTTGACATTTTTGTTTTTGGAGCACTACATGAAAATATTATTTATCTTGATTTAAATTTTTTTGGCACCTACTTACCTTTAAATGTTGATTCTGTGGTGCCCCTTTTACCTCTCTTCAATCCCAGGCCTACTTGGAAGTAAGGGTCATAAAATGCTTAGTAAGGGATCTGGCCTATAGAGAGTGTTAAACACCTGAGCTGTGTTTGTAAGCATGGAATCAGGGTGGGAGATAGTGGGGAACTTCAGAATCATGCCCTTGTTTTATAGAACACTCATTGGGGCTTGGAGTTGGTAAAGGACTTCCCTTAGTGGCAGAAGTGGAACTGGAACTCAGACCCCCAATCTGTTAAGATTTTTGCAGGTCACATACCTGCCACACTATTGTCCTTTCCTAGGCAATGTGGAGGGCCTGACCTGTTTTTCTCCGTGGAAAGTGAAGTACCAAGGCCCTGGGTGGTAACCACAGCCGAAGGGAGACCTCATTTCTTCCTTCCTATTCTTACCCATACCCCGTACTTGTACCATCTTTGACGTTGCAGTCTGTTGCTCAGACAAAACCTGTGTCATCATCAATTCCTAGTTCATACAAAATGAAGGAATTTATCACATCACTGAGAGGATTTTGGCCTCCTGCTGTTTCTTGGGTTCCAGGACTTAGAGTCAGCTCTCCTGAAATTTCCAGAAACAAGTGCATAGGCTTGGAATGTTTTGGGGAGCTCTGCTGTGTCAGTATTCTATAGTTCTCAGCAAGAGGGCACAGGGAGCCTGGGCCTTGGCCTCAGGAAATAGATCATTGTCTGCAGATCATGTCATACTGATCATATTTTAGATTGCCTTTCGGAGAGTTGAGAAACTCGTTGAGGGAATCGGGAATAGTTCACTTTTAAAAGCTCCTTGAAACCCTTTTGCCCACTTGAGTTGTTTTTTTCTTCCAGCATCGATACTCCTGGAGTCATCAGGCGTGTCTCACAGCTCTTCCACGAGCACCCTGACCTCATTGTTGGATTTAATGCTTTCCTTCCCCTCGGATACAGAATAGACATTCCCAAGAATGGCAAGTTAAACATACAGTCGCCTCTGACAAGCCAGGTATGCCGCCACGGAAGGAGGTCCCAGTGGTCTGGGCCTTAACACAGCACACCCTGTTACTCAGTTTGGGCATCGCGTCTCGTTTGTGTCATTGCCAGAAATCTGTGTAAGACCTGTTCTTTTTCTAGCTGTGCTAATTGCTTCTAGTGCAAATCAAAATAGATCAAAACATGCAGGCAGCCTCTACATCCCAAAATGATCTATTTGGAAGATTTATAATCAAAAGTAGGAACTGGAGGTACAGCTCAGTGGTAGAATATGTGTGAAGGTTCCAGCACCAGCACGAAAGTGGCTGTCAGGACATCATCTTCCTAACACAGAATTTATGTTAAGTCAAAATAGCCGAATCAGCAGTTACTGAGGGCTTGGCTTAGGCTTCCCAGTGAGCCCACCAGGCAGGCTTGTCCTTGAACTCAGGCATTTGCTTGTCTGCATCAGATCACTCTTGGTGCCACCAACAAAATAAAGTGGGTGAGCTGTATGTATGCGTGAGTAGCTGTGTTTATTGTTCCTGTGCTTCATTGAATTGCTGACAGGGTTGTTGACTCAGCTCAGGTGTGGGGTTTTGATACCTTCTCTCTCAAGTGACAGGTTGCTGCCCCTTCTGCATCTGCTTCTTGCTAGAGTTCATCAGACTCTTGGAGAAAAAGAAAGCCTATTTGAGTGTCACTTTTATAAGGTAACTAAAGCCTTTTTCTCTCTCAGCACAGTTCCCTCCTAGGCCACAATTCTGTGCTATGGGGGGCTGTTCAGTGCATTGTAGGATGTTAGCAGCATCCTCAGCTTCCACCGCCCCAGTCACGACAGCCAAAATGTTCTCCAGACATTGCCAGATGTCTCCCGGGGGCAACATTGCCCGTTGTGAATTGCTGGTCTAAGTGAGCCAGCTCTTCCATCCTCCAGCGCCTGCCTGAGAGCTTCAGCAGGGAATGTAGCAACGCCACCATTGGAACCACCATTAGGTTTCTCCTTCAGCGGAGGAGATGCAGTGCCAGATAGAGGTAGGACTTGGAATTTGGAAAGGGAATAAGGAAAGGTGATGTGCCTGTGCCCAGTCTGTCCTAGAGGCAGGCTTCTGGGTGAATTCTGCTTTTTCTGTGCAAGGCAAGCCCCACTATCAGCATGTTGTCTTACTAAAGCTGAGGAGCCCATCTCAGTATCAGAAGGGAACTTGGAAATGTGTGGCTGCTGAATTCTGAAGAGCTTCCATTTCACATTTGCCCCAGGATCCAGGTGTAGGGCTCCCACCTCCAGACCAGAAAAGCCTTAGCAGGATCAGTCTCTGGAACAATTGCAGCTGGGGCTGAAAACCAAGCTCGTTCGCAGCAGTGGTGGCCATGAGAGCGTTTGGAGAGTCTGACCACAGAGTGCTGAGTGAAATGGTGGGTGAATGCTGGATGTGTTCACCGTCACTTGCTAAGGAAGAGCTGGGGTTGGAAGACTAAACCATCCACAGTCCCTGTGGAGCTGCACGTGGTTGTATTCAGAACCAGCTCTTCCTGAAATGGCAGAGAGGCCCCTGCTGTCCCCATGCACCATGAAGGGGTGTTGTACAGATAATGACACTAACCAGAACCCTGTGTCCCCAGCAGGTAGCCTAGTTGACCAGGGAGGTCTGTTGACTTGAAGAAAGGCTTGACAAAGGTGTTCCCTGGGCAACTGCAGAACGGGTTTCATACCTCGCTGCAGCCAGGAGGCACCTTCCCCAGGGCCTCCTTCCCCGGCTGGGGAGGTCTGTGCCGTCAGGGCATCCTGGCGCCCACTTGCTTTCATCCAGCAAGATGACCTGTCAGGACAGGCCTTGCTCCTCAGCAGTCAGGCCATTATCTGCAGGGCTTCCTAAGAGGCACGCACGAGATGGCCTTCCAGCTTCCTGGGGTCTCTCTGGAGGCCAGAATAGGCAGGAAACTGCCCAAGGCTCTCACACACAAATGCCCCCTTGATTTTCTCTTTTGATTTGTTTTGCCAGTTTCACATTTTGAAATACAGCTTTCGGGGTGTTTGTTTTCATTTTGTCTTAAAGCCTGCCAACCAGGGACAAGGAAGAAGTAGCCCTTTGGCTACTGCCCTCTGGAAGCCCTCGCTGCAGCTTGTCCACCTCAGCACCGTTGCCCTTTGGGGCTGCATCACCTTCTGGGGGGGGGGGGCATCCTGTGCACCATGAGGTGTTGAGTAGCACCCTTGGTCTTCACCCACCAGATACCCAGAGCATCTGGTCCCCCAGTTGTGGCAGCCAAAAGTGTAGCCTAGCGTCCCCTTGTGAGCAGAACTGCCCCAGTTGAGAACACAAGCCTCGAAGCACAGACGCAGCTGCAGCCAGTGCGGACCAGGGGCGTGGTGGAAGGAGCGTTCTCTTCTGGGGCCTCAGCCCTGTGAGTCATTTGGGCCTCAGTTGTAGTCCCCTCAGGCAGTCCCTCTCTCCTGCCCCCTGTCACTGTCATACCACTCTGGATTCTGTGATTCAGAATGGCTAAGCCAGGGAAAGAAGTTGAACTCCATGGTTTCTTGTTGGCTTCCTTCCTGGGCAGCCTGGAGGCCTTCAGGTGAGGTAGAGGCCTCCCGACTTCACAGTGTCTCTGCGTTCCCCAGAGGTGCTGCGTGAGGAGAATGGGACTGTAGGGTGCCCAGCCCCAGGTCCTCTTCAGGGCAGATCCTCCCTAGGAGATGATAGCTTTAGAGAGCACCCAGTGTGACCTGTGCACAGTCAAAGGGAGCCACCATTTACTCCAGGGGTGGTGGGTGGTCCATCATTCCCTGGCAAATGGGTTTCCCAGTTGTGTCGTATTCCGCAGGGAGCAGGGAGTTTGGAGTCCCAGCTCTTGACATATGTGCTTGGTCCAGATGGGGATTCAGATGAGGAACAGGGCGAGACATGGACTGTGTGTGTGAGGAGCTTCACTGCTGTGGATGAGAGGTAGCAGGGCCAGGCCAAGCAGAAGGTGCCTGTGGGGTGCCATAGGCAGAACAAGGGGCATGGGAGTCGTGTTGTGAGGGCATGTTCCTGGCAGGTGTAAAGGGTGAGGTGGAGCGAGTGAGTGAGCCAGGGGGTCAGCGAGGTTGGGACGTGAAGCCAGGCAGGGGGAGCCATGGAGAGTTCCGGAAGGCACCTCTTCTGCATGACAAGAGTGAACCAAAGGGTCGAGATCTCTGAGAGGCCAAGGAGGTTACCCTGAATGATCCGGGTAAAGTGGACAATGGTGAGGACCAGGAAGGGGCTGTGTGATGGGCAGAGTGCATGGGGACGGGGACCAGAAAGTGGGTCCAAGGAGTGGGATGACAGGTGAGCACAGGTGCCTGGTCCTCTGGGGAAGGTGGCGTCTCCTGCTGAAATCAGTGAGGCCAGGTAGCAGTTGGGGGCTGCTGTGGCTCGGTGCCACTGAGGTGTCTGTTAAACCTCAAGGGGGCCGTGTGTGGACACTCAGGGGGAGGCCTAAGACCTTGCTAACTGTTGAGGCCTCTCTGCCCCAGGGGAGGGAATGAGTGGCTTGTTCCAGAAGTTTCAGGGCAGGGTGCACTTAATGTGGCTTGTAAACCAGAGCCAGTTTGGCTTTGAGTGGCCGGTCATTTTTATATTTTCCAAGGATTGTTTAAAACGTTTTTTTAAATGTGATATCATTCACATAACGATTTAAAAATGTACGGCTCAGTGGTTTTTAGTAGATTCATAATATTGTGCAACTGTCACCACTGACTTCCCTCACCCCAGACAAGCCCTGTCCTCCTAGTTCTCACCTCCCTCCAGCCCTGCAGCTTCTGCTCTGCTTCCTGTCCCTGTGGCTTCACCTGTCAGTGGCTGCACACTGTGTGGCCTCTGCCAGGCTGCCTTCACTGAGCTCTTGAGGGTCGCCCATGTCGTACCTGTGTCAGTGCTCAGTTCCCCCAGGGTGCATCAGATGAACGTGTGAGCTGTTGAGTCGTCTGCACATGGCCATTGAGTCGGGCTGCTGTGCGTGTTCACGATAAGGATTTTTTGAATACCCATTTTCATTTCTTTTGGGGCTCTGTCCTAGCAAAGGAACTCTGGCTCCTAGGGTAATTGTGTATTAAGTTCATTGAGGAGCTGCCAAGCTGCTTTTCACAGTAGTTTCTGTCACTCTCTGGCCCCTTTCCTGAGCCCTGGTCTAGAGGGCAGTTCTCTCTCTTACCAGGATGCATGTGGGGCTTGAAGATGCCCCCTTGGGGCGGTGGGGACTCCCAGTGAGCCCGGTCTCCTCAGGAGCAACCCTTGGCCCCATGGCTGCGTCCTTCCAGCCCCCACCCTTTCCTGGCTCCTTCGGGCTCCTTCCCCTGCCAAGCCTGTGCCATGAAGGAGCACAGATGCTAGAGCGTGGGCTGGCACGTGCCTGGAGAGTCGTAGAACATTGGAGTTGTGGCAGCTCTGGATCTTGTGTGTGTGTTTCTCTGCTCTGGCTTTCTAGAACTTCTCTGTACCCACTGTTGGGGCTCAGTTGTGACCCCCCCTTCTGTTGATGCCTCACCCTGAGTGTAGCGTCTGCCTTTATGTCTGGGGTTCCTCCTCAGATTCAACCAGCCACAGGTTGAAAATATTCAGAAAAAAAAATTGCACCCCCCTGAGCGTGAACAAACTGTTTTTTCTTACAGTCGTAGGGATTGAACCAGGGCTTCAGGCTGCTGGGGGAGCAGTCTGCATGGAGCCACGCCCCAGCGTGTTCTCTCCCCCCCCCCCCTTATCTCTTTCTCTCTCTCTCTCTTTTTTTATTTTTGAAATTGTCATGATTTCCTAAACAATACAGTATCACCACTAATTATATGGCATTTACTTGGAATTAGGTATTCTAAGTCACTGAAATAATTTAAAGTCTGCAGGAAGAAGCTTGTAGGTTATATGTAAATACTGTGCCATTTTCTGTAAGGGACTTGAGTGTCCTTGGTTTTAGGTACCTGAAGGGTGTCCTACAGTCACCTGCAGATATCAAGGGATGACTGTATTTGGAAGCAGACCCTTTGGGGAGTTAATCAAGGTGAAGTGAGGCCATGAGAGTGGACTCAAGTTAAATATGCTGGGTTTCCTTGTAAGGAGAGTTCAGAGCAGACTGCAGGGGAAAGGCCTGTGTCTGAAGGCAGCCCTCTGCAGGCCAAGGAGGGAGGCCTCAGAGGAGGCCGGACCTGCCGGCACCTTGATCTTGAACTCGCAGCCTCTGGGACCGTGGGAAAAATAAATTTCTGTTGTGGTCCCTTGTTAGGACAGCCTGAGCTAGTCCACCCACCCAGGTGATGGCACGTGTGCCAGGTGCCTGTTGCAGTGACAGTTCTGCAGTGGGCAGCAGTGCACCTGGCCTTTCTTGTCTCAGAGGAGTCGTCAGGTGAGCAGTTGGTGCCAGGGCAGTGTTGTGACCTCAGGGCAATGGAAACAGTGGACACATCTGTTTATTCCTTCATCCATTCGCCTGGTCATCCACAGTAGTGGACACGGCCTGCTCTGTTCCAGCCTTGTTCCAGGCACTGGGGACACAGCAGTGAACAGAACCAAAGCCCTGCCCTCATGCTGCTTGCCATCCAGTCAGGGCTGGACAGACAGAAAATCAGCATGTCCCATGAAGGAATGTGTCAGTGCCATGGGGAAAAATAACAGCAGGGGCTTCAGGGTCATTTCACTTTGGTAAGCGATGGTTCCAGAAGGTTTTCTGAGATGTCTGAGCCAAGACCTCCAGGCAAACTGGTCAGGGAATCCTGACCCACTTGAGAACCTGCTGCCTTGTGCTGGGGACTGTGCAGGATGGTTCTGGTTTAGGGGCTTGACACCCCTCCTTCAGGGGCATGATCTGACCCACCATGAGTCCAGATTCTGTGTGTAACAGAGAGACATATTTGTATCTGTGGTACACTAATAAAAGGCATACTGGACGGGTGATCAGGGCCGACCCACTCCTCTCAAGTGACTGATGACCTGGGTCCCAGAGTTCTGTGTGCTGGGAATCCCTGAAGTCCCCCCGGCAGCGGGTGCCTGTAGCCTCTGGGGTCCCCACCGTACACACCCTGACCTTCCCGTAGGAGGGGGATCTCCTCCCTGAGAACAGCCTTGGATCTCGGAAGGTGTGGGAAAACTTCTTTTATGCACAACCTAAAACTTGTCTATGACAAGGATCAAACATGCACATTTTGTCAATTTTTTCACGTGCTGAGTTTTCAGAATCTAAGTTCTCATTAAGCTCGGCTGTTCTCAGATGGATTGGACGGATGGGGGCAGGTGAGTTAGTGAGACTCTCCAGGAACGGCACACACTCAAGCATGTTCTCTGGTGCCCCGAATGGCTTTCCCCCCTCCACGAGGCCCCAGAAGTCACCCTTCTCTGCATCTAATAAAACATCATCTTGGCTCGGCTGGATTCCGTCTGCCCTGGATAGATGGCAGCCAGGCCTGGGGTGTCTTAGAATCGTCCTAGGGTTGACTTGGGGGAACTTAGTGTCCCGTTGTTGGCAGGAGAATTCGCACAACCATGGTGACTGTGCAGAAGACTTCAAGCAGCAGATGCCGTATAAGGAGGACAAACCCCAGGTGCCCTTGGAGTCAGATTCTGTAGAATTCAACAACGCCATCAGCTATGTGAACAAGATTAAGACCCGCTTCCTGGACCACCCAGAGATCTACAGGTCATTCCTAGAGATACTCCACACTTACCAGGTAGGAGCCTCAAGCCTCACTTCTTCGTGCCATCATTCACGATCATGCACTGAAAGCATTTGGATTTTCTTGTCTGAATTTGAATTCACGACATCCCATGAAATTCTGCCTTTTTTTTTTTTTTTTTTTTTGAGACAGGGTCTTGCTAAGTTGCTTAGGACCTCAATACATTGCTGAGGCTGGCCTTAAACTCTTGATCCTCCTGCCTCAGCCTCCCAGTCCCTGAGATTACAGGTGTGCACCCCTACACCCGGCCAGACACAGAATCTTATTCTTTTCTTTTTATGTTTTTGGTGATGCTGGGGATGATCCAGTGCCTCACGCATGCTGGGCCAGTGCTGTTCCACTGAGCCACAGTAAAATCACCCAGTATTTGTCCTTCTGTGAGTGGCATGTTTCATTGAGCATATTGTCTTCAAGGTGCATCTGTGTTGCAGAATGTGTTAGAATTTTCTTCCTTTTTGGGCTGGGGTTGTGGCTCACACATGCTGCACTTGCCTAGCATGTGTGAGGCACTCGGTTTGATCCTCAGCACTGCATAAAAATAAATAAAATAAAGGTCCGCTGACAACTAAAAAGTACTTACAAATTTTTTTTTCTTCCTTTTTGAGGCTGAATGATATTCCATCAAATACATGGAACACGTTTTGTCTGTCTGTCCTTCCGTGGATGGACAGTTGACTCCTTCTACCTTTGGGCTCTGAGGAGTAGTGCTGCTGTGAACTGGTGTACATATGGATGCTGACTGGAATTTTGTTAATTTTGATTTTGCTCCTTTAAGCACCTTTGCATCCAAGAAATTCTGGGAAACACACACTAAGGGGAGTTAAAAGGAAAAAAAGAACAAAAGCAGTCTTATTTTTATAAGACAAGTTCGTTGTTGTTTGGACGTTGCAGCTAGCCTTTACTTCTGCTGATTACAGCTGGGCCCAGTGCCAGAAGCTGGAGTGACAGGGACAAATGTTGCCTGCTCCTCAGAATTCAATCTGGTGGTACAAGAGCTTCAGAGACAGACTGGGGTGGGAACGAAGGATGTGTGTAAGAAAGGTGTGTTGAGGTTCATAGTAGTGACCCACAGGTGTCACAGGGGATCGCCAGCTAGGACCTTGGTAAGTTGATCTCTGTCAGTCTCAGATGAGCATGAATGAGGGACAGATTTTCTCATACCGAGAAGACCTATGCAGAGTTTAGGGGCCATGGGCCAGAGCAGAGGACTGGCATCTGCAGGGGACTTGACAGGAGGTGCCCGGGGCTGGTGCCAAGCAAGGTCTACATCACATGCGGGGCTTAGATGTCATCCTCACCCAGATGTGGAGTTTCTGATGCTTGTCATTTTTTTTAAGCAGCATTTTTATAAATGAAAGCTGCATGACCTTGAGATGTCACATTAAAAAGTGAGATTCTTTTTAGCCCCCACATGGATGATAAGATTGACAGCGTTTGCTCCCTGTGAACTCAGCAAAGCCGTTTTGATTGACCACAGTTTGCCATCCATGATAGAGTGACCTGTTGGTCCCTGTCAGCATGGGGAGGTGACAGGTGTGAGTTATGCGAGGGTCTTTTTAAATCTAATGGACGTCGTGACCTTGTACAGTGATGGGCAGGAAATCACCCAGTGTTTCTCCTGGACAAAAATCACACGTGAACAAAAGCGAAGTGTACACTGTGCTTAAATCATACCCTGGTACATGTGTCATGCTCAGACAGACTGTGTGTTCAAAACAAGCTCTGGCCAGAGTGGGCTGAGAATGAGTTCCCAGAAAGTGCATTCCAGCATTGAGGATGTGCACACATGGCAGCTACAGAGACAGATTCCCCCCAAGATCCTTCTGTGTGTGGGAGCACAGGCCCCCAAGTCCTCCTGGGAAGTCACCAGCCCTTTTCATGTCAGTCTCAGGAGCCAGAGAAGACGTCCAGAGCAATGTTTCAAATTGTTTCTTTGAGCATCAGGCAGGTGGGCCAGTCCTTCACATTTAGCCTCTGCATCGAGTGGCCTTTGCTCATTGTTGTACTGGAAGCTTTATGGGGAGGGGTTGGTTTGCTTCTCCTCTTCCTGAATAGGTGCTATGGATGCCAAGACGTAGAACTTCTTCCCCTGGGCCCTGGGTACAGCGCAGTGGAGAGCACTTTCCTAATGAGTGGGACCCTGGTCCCTCCCCAGCACTCCTGCCCCAGGCAAAACTTGTTTTCCTTCCTGCAGGGCACAGTGGGCCTGGCGGGAGGGAGCCTGCTGTAAATCACGCCAGTCTGCAGCCATGGTGGGACCATAGAAACCTATGCCCTGCACCATGGAAGGGTCCCCAGCATTGCCACCTCTTGCTGTGTGACGTTCTCAGGAATGAAATTGACAGGGACATATTTCTAAAGGCCAACCTCAGTTTTGCAGGCCAGTTCCTGCTACCCACCTGGGTCCCCTTTCCGGTCCTCCTCGTGTTACTCTAACCCCTGTCAGCCTGTCTCCCCTCTGCACGTCAGTTCTTGCTGACACTGAGCCAACGTGTTCCTCGGCCTGGAAGTCCCCTTGCTCTGCCCTTCACCTCCTTTCTGGCGACTTCTGACCCTTAGGAAGACTTTGGATCCCCTGACCTTACCCTTCCCCAGCCTACCCCTGACTTCAGCCAGGAGTGTGGTTCCCCAGCTCCCTCTGCGTGGGGACCCAATATAGCTTCCTGTGTCCCCTCCACACTCCATGGCCAAGGCTGTGCTGTGCCGCAGGCTTCAGATGCAGATGCATGGGGCTGTCATCCTGCAGGCATTTTCTCCTGTGAAGCATCCCTCTGTCCCCACACGGTGAGGTGCCTTTGTGTCCCGGCCCTGGGTGTCTTGGATCTTGCCTAAAGTCTCCTAATTTCTTTCCCAAAAACCTGCAGAAGGAGCAACTACACACGAAGGGCCGGCCGTTCCGAGGCATGTCTGAAGAGGAGGTCTTCACTGAGGTGGCCAACCTCTTCCGGGGCCAGGAGGACCTGCTGTCTGAGTTTGGACAGTTCCTGCCTGAAGCCAAGCGGTCTCTGGTGAGTACTGAGCCCCACAGGGTGCCTGGCCAGGCTTGTCTACCCTCTAGGACACATCAGGCTTCCCCCGGAAGCTACATGGGCACACACACCCAGCAACCCCCAATGAGTGTTTGAGCCTGTAGGCTGCTGACAGGTTCCTAGAAGTGCCTCCCCACACAGACAGTGCCTGAGTCAGGGGAGGCCGGGAGGAGGCCAGGAGCATCCTCCCTGGGAGACGAGGAGACACAGTGTCGGGGCCCACATGTCCCACCTTCTCCGCCCTCCAGAGCTGCCGCCACCCACACCTGACCCAGTGGGCCACGCAGGGGAATTGGGCCCACCGCCTCTCCCTCTGTTTAGTAGGGCTCTGATCTAGACGGGACGGATTAGGGTGGCCTGAGATGTGGCAGAAAACAGGTTGAGGAAGGGCCTTGGCTGGGGAGGTCGGGGGCTCATAGACTGAACCCAGCTTTCTTTCCCAGCTGGGCCAGAGGCTGCTGGGGCTGCCTTTGCCTTTTCCTTTTTTTGGAAGAACATAGGCTTTTAAAAATGAATTACACGAAACTCATGTAACATAAAACTCACCATGGAAAAGTGTTTGGTTTAGTGGCATTTAGCACATTCATGGTGTTGCACAACCACATCTGTCTAGTCAAGAACGGTTCCATGACTGCCAGAGGAAACCATGTCCCCATTGGCTGTCACTCCCACCCTCCCTTCCCCAGTCCCTGACAACCACTAATCCACTTCTGCCTGTGGATTCCTCTGTTCTGGACATTTTATATAATGGAATCATTCACAATATGGCCTTCTATGTCTGGTTTGTGTCACTCGGTATCATGTTTTCAAGGTTCTTCCGTCTCACAGCAAGTGTCAGTCCTTTCTTACTTTTCGTGGCTGAATAGAATATTCTGCTGTATGGGTGGACCATATTTTGTTCATCCGTTCATCTGATAGACATTTGGGTTTTCTCCATATTTTGACTATTGTGTGAATAATTGTATACAAATATTTGTTTGAATTTCTGATTCCAGTTCTGTAGGTCTATACCTGGAGGAATTACTGGATCCTATGGTAATTCTGTTTAGCTTTTTGAAGAATCTCCAACCTGTTTTCCATAGCAGCTGTACCATCTTATGTTCCAAGCAGAAATGTACCAGAGTTCCAATTTCTCTACATTCTGCCAACACTTGTGATTTTTCATTTTTTTGTTTTATAGCTATCACCGTCAGTGTGGAGTTATATCACATCATAGTTTTGACTGCTTTTCCCTGGTGACTAATTATGTTGAGTATCCTTTCATGTGTTTATTGGGCATTCATGTAACTTCTTTGGGAAAATGTCTATTAAAGCTCTTTACCAAAATTTTTTAATTTGTTTGTCAAGTTGTAAAAGTTCTTAATATGTTCTATACTGGATTCTCACAGATAGATAATTTGTAAATATTTTCCTCCATTCCATATGTTGTTTTCCCTTTCTTTTTAGTCCTTTGCTGCACAAAAGTGTTCAGATTTGTTGAAATTCAATTTATTTTTTTCTTACATTATGCTGTTTTTAATGTCGACTCTTGAGAAGCCGTTGCCAACTGAGGCCATGCAGGTTTCCCTCATGGTTTCTCCTAACAGTTTTAAAGTTTTTGCTTTTTGGTTTAGGTCATTATCCTGTTTTGAGTTAAAATTTATATACAGCATGAGGCAGGGTCCAGCTTTATTCTCTTGCATGTGGAGATACCCTAGTCCCAGCCCTGTTTGTTGAAGAGATCATGTTTGCCCACTGAACGCTCTTGGCACCCTAGCTTCTGGTTTACAATCACTTAACTACAGCTGTATAGGTTTGTCTTTGAAGTCTCACTTCTTATCTGTGGTTACATGTCTATTCTTACGTCAGTTTGATGCTGTTTTTATTACTGTAGCTTTGTAGTAGGTTTAAATCAGGAAGTGTGAGTCCTCCAATTTCGTTCTTCTTTGCAAGATGATTTTGGCATTCAGGGTCCCTTGAAAAACTTCCGTGTCTACAAAAATGGCCATTGAGTTTTTGCTAGGAATTATGTTGAATCTGTCGATCACCCTGGGGATATTGCTGTCTTAGCGATATAAGCCTCCTGTGAAGACCAGACACCTGTCCGTTTCTTGTCTTTCAGCCCTCACTGTTCACTGTTTCGTGGTTTTGGTTCCAGTCTCGCACCTCTGTGGTTAAATCTAGTCCTGATTATCTCATTCTTTTTGATGTCATTGTAAATGGAATGGGTTTCCTTTGTTTAATTTCTGGATGGTGCATTGCTGACATACAAAAGCATCCCTGATTTTCGTGTGTTGATCCTGAAACTTTGAACTTGTTTATTGGCTTTAGTAATTTTCATAGACACTTAAGATCTTCAGTGACTCTATCATGTCACCTGCGGAGAGGTCATTTCCTTCTCCCTTTCCAGTGTGGATGATGCCCTTTGTTTCCTTTTCTGGCCTCATCACTGCGCTGAGGCTCCAGTACTATGCTGAATAGAAGAGGCAGAGCCGGCTCCTCGCCTCCTTCCTGGCCCTTGAGGAAGGCCTGGTGGTCGTTCAGCTCGGAGTGTGGTGTGCTCTTGGGTTTCCTCTTTCTTTCTTTTCAGTGCCTGGCACAGGCCAGGGCTCCACACCTGCTGGGCAGGCCTCGCCCCCGCCTGGCGTTGATTACACGCCCTTTGCCAGGTTGAAGGAGCTCCCTTCCCAGCTCCTCCACCTTGTTTCCTCTTTTCTTCTTCCTGTCTGTCCTTGATAACAACCGGGCAGGGGAGCACATGAGAGTGTCCCCCCCCCGCCCCCCAGCCTCACTGTCACTGCGGCTTGGTCCTTCCTCTGAACGAATATGTGGTGGGGTGGATAGGGTGGGAGACGCTGGTCCAGAAGGGAAGGGCTGGACCAGGGTCTGGGTTTGGATGACAGGGGTCAGGGTGCTGGTTGAGTCTGGCAGATTTCCATTGTTTTCTTGGGTCACCCCGCCCACTCCCAAATCTGTCCTTCCCTTGTCCTTACCCAAAGTCTCTTCTAGCCTGTCCAGGCTAGTGGGCCAGGACTTGTCCCCAGATGTCACCACCTCTAGGACACTGAGCAGCATCCCTAAGCAGAGATGCCACTGGGAAAGACTTCCTAACTCCAGCTCAGAAATTCCTCCTGGTGGGACGGGTGACCTGTGACCTGGTCTTCACCCCCCACCTGAAGCCTTGGTGCCTTCAAGATCATGGGCTGGAGGAGCCCTGAGAGCAGTGTCTCCTGGGCTGGACCCCAGCCCTGTGCCTCAGGAGGACCGAGCAGCCATGCCACATACCCCCTGACACAGGAATGGCTGTCTCTCTTGCTCAGGTGGACCCTCAGAGGCACTGTCGTTTGGGTGCTCGGTGCTACAGAAGGGCTGCTGTGTCGGGGAAAAGCAGGTGCCACTCCGGAGGCCAGGCCCCTCCTCTCTCCTCCCAGATGTCTGATCCAGGAGGACAGACACCCACCTCCCCGTGCCATCTCCCTGCCCCATGTCCCCAGAGCTGCTGGCTTGCAGGAAGCCAGCATGGAGCCCTGGTCTGGAGTCCCTGTGGCGACAGGTGTCTGCATTGGCCTCCTCACTTCCCCTCCTTCTCTGAGTCCAGCCCCACCCGGGTCTCTCTCAGGTTCAGAATCTCTCCTGGAACCCCCACCCTCCTGCCTATCCAAGGTCCTCCGAACTGGATCCTGGCATCCCTCCCTCCCTTCTGCCTATCCAAGGTCCTCTGAACTATGGTTCAGGGGCCACGGGACCACGCAGAGCACAGGGATCTCACCCCCCACCTCCAGCAGCATCCCCCCTCATGTTGCCTCCTCCTGAGCCCCTGGCAGCTCAGGCTAAGTGCTGACCACCCTGGGAAGCCTGTCTGCCAGGCCGCTCAGTGGCTTGTCTTGGGTGTTGTCTTGGATCTGGGGCTCGCCCTTTCTCCAAGGAGCTCTGGGTTGCCCCTCTTGGCCCTACCTTGACAGGCCAGGGCTCATGGTTGCACACCTGGTTCCTATCTTAACTGGTCACCTCCTTGCTGCAGGACCCTGGTGGGGCCTTTCCTGAGCCTGGCATTTCTTATCCAGGAAGTGGCAATGAGGGTGCCCCACTAGGGCTTCCTTAGGGGAGCAGCTGACCTGTGAGCCTGGGCCTTTTACACCCTGAAAGGCTGCCTGGGGTCAGTTCAGCCAACTCCATCTGGACTGGGTACAGCCCGTGGGGGCCCCATCTCTGGGGTCGTGGGTGTTGTGCCAACAGGTACGTGGTAACTGCTGAAGCCTGCCGCCCACGCTACTCACGGCCACTTCTGGTGTTTGTGGCAGGAGCAGCCTTATTTCCACAGCTTTTCATCCCGCTGGTAATTCTTCGGTTGTTGTGAGGCCTGGTCATCTTGGAGGGGCCTCCTATCCTCTAAAGGCTGTGACCGCAGCGCCCCCTGGTGAATGTGACTTGACATTTGTCAAGTCGATCCTGACACACTCACCTTCAAAAAAATAGGTAGTATTTCCTGCTGAAAAGTGCACCAATCTACCCACCCTTCCTCCCTTCCTGTGTTGGGGATGGAACCCAGGACCTCACCCATGCTGGGCAAGCGCTCAGCAGTGAGCTCCTCCCCAGCTGGGCAGTTCCTTTAAATAGCATTTAGGATCAGTTCAGCAGTGTTTTTTGGTGTCTGTTGAGTGATTAGAGCTAGAGCAATTGGATCAATTTTTTTAGATCCTTTTTTTTTTTAGTTATAGATGGACACAATATTTAATTTATTAATTTGTTTTTATGTGGTGCTGAGGATCGAACCCTCACACGTGTGAGGCAAGCTCTCTATCACTGAGCTGTAGCCCCAGCCCAATTTTTTAGATTATTAATCACCTACTACACATTCTGTGGTCTGGTATGAGTCAACCTTTATAATCTTTATATTAAATTTTGGACATCTATTAAAATGGCAGGAAGAAGAAATCCAAGATGAAATGTGGCACTTTCCTAATTAAATTGACTGAACTACATCAAGGGTCAGCAGCTTTCTAGAAAGGGCCAGATATTAAATCTGTGAACCTTTCTGGTCAGTTGATCTCTGTTACAAAGGCTCGGCTCTTTCCTAGTAGCTTGAAAGCAGTGATGGATAATATGTCAACATGTGGGTGAGGCTGTGTGTCAGTGAAACTTGATTAAATTGCTGGCCTCTGGCCTGGGTGGTCTTTGGGGGTCCATCTAACCCAAGCATGCACAAACTGGGACATTTAACTGAAGAGTAAGAACCATGTGACCTGATAGGCCTTGCTGTCCCCTTGAAGAGCTCAGCGAGGCAGGCGTTGGTCTCTCCTCGGGTCTCCTTTTCCACTCAGCACAGGTCATGTTGTCCCCTGTCTGCCTCTTTCTGGAATTGGTGTTCCTGTTTGGGGCTCTATAAAAAGAAAAGCCAGTGGAAAATTGTCGTGTGGGTGCCAGTTTCTCTGCTTTATGGTTCTCAGAATAGTTCAGAATTTTTTAATAATTATTCTTGGGGCTGGGGTTGTGGCTCAGCGGTAGAGCGCTCACCTAGCAAGTGCAAGGCTTGGGTTCCATCCTCAGCACACATAAAAATAAAATAAAGATTTTTTTTAAAAAGTTATTCTTTAATTCTTTAATCTGTGGCTTAACAATGGGTCTTATTATTATTGTTATAAAAATAGCACACACGCATGAGAGCAGTGAGCATGAGTAAGGATATTACGTGTGAAAAGGAGACTTCCTTTTGCTAACTCGCTCCCAGTCCTCCTCTCAAGAATAATTCTTATATGTGTTTCCAGAAATTTTCTCTTCATTTGTAATCAAACACTTATCTTTCAAAACAAGGTGACAAATGGCATCCCGTGGGTTCTGCCCCTTGGGTTTGGGGTGGGGAGTCGGCCTGTGTTTTTCCTTGGCGGGTCCGGTGCTCTTTGTCAGGGCAGCGGCAGAGCCGGCCCACAGCTCTCAGAGCCCGGGGGTCGCTCAGGCACCGTGACTGATTCACCTTACCTGTGCTCCGGCCAGCAGCACAGCCTTTTTGAAGTATCTCTGTGTCTAGTCGCATGGGAGTGTGATTATGGTGGCTTAAAAGCATCATCAGGCCTCTCTGGCCTTGACCATGGCCTGCAGAGAAGCTACGCCATCTGTCCCCCCCCCCCCACTCTAGCTTCACAGTGTGTTCATGCAGGTGCAAATCCTGAATAGATTGTTCCAGAACCATTCTTCATGAATACTTCCAGCTTCCTGTAGGTACCTTGCTTCGGCTAAGCATCTTTGACCTGTTAGTGATTGACTCAGAGCCAGAGAGATGAGCTCCAAACCAGCTCTGAGCCTCCCTCCCCATCCTGCAAGTGCTGACGTCACCTCCAGGACACATCTTGTCATTTGTAGCAAGGAATCCAGAATCTGGCTCAAGGCCCCTTGGTGACCAAGCAGACGCCAGCCACTTCTTGCAGCCAGGGCTTTGCACTGCTGCCTGTCTGTACCCAAGATGCTGTGCGTTTCGGGCTGGGATTGTGGCTCAGCAGTAGACTGCTCGCCTAGTGCGTGCAAGGCCCTGGGTTCGATCCTCAGCACCACATAAAAAAAAAAATTAATAAAATAAAGGTACAACTAAAACTTAAATAAAAAAGTATTTAAAAAAAAAAGAGATGCTGTGCGTTTCCATGGCAGTCACTTGGGCAGCGGGAGGGCCCGGTCAGTTGGCTGCAGGTCTGCAGGGAGAGTCCCTGTGCAGGAGGACCCCGCTCAGGTATCTCCCTGCTGGGTGTCTCCCTCCTGAGTCTTCAGGTCTCTGTCCCGCCCTGTGTCCATCAGAACCTTGGTCATTGTGGCCTTATGTGAGCCTTCTCCCTGCCTTACGGTGTGTAATGATTGGGAACACAGGTCAGTTCCCTAGAAAACGGGCATCTAGTGAGCCAGTGCCACCTGCACACAGGACTGTGGCCAGACGGCACCCGCCTGGGCTGTGGTCTGAGCCCAGAGCAGCTCGGCATGGCCGGACGTGCGGAGAGCCAGCTCGGGCAGGCCCTGCTGCTTGTCCCCAGCACGGCTCACCTCCTTCTGTGTCCTCAGTTCACAGGCAACGGGCCATGTGAAATGAACAACGTCCAGAAGAGCGACCATGACAAGAGTCTGGAGCACGGCAAGAAGCGCTCCCGGCCCTCGCTCCTCCGGCCCGTGTCCGCCCCTGCCAAGGTAACCATGCCAATGCACATCCAAGTCCCTGCGTGGCATCGCCCAGCAGCCTGGCCTCCTCTGTGGGGACCAGGGAGTAATGGGCAGAAGCCCAGGCAGCAGGCTAGAGCTGAGGCTGGATCCTGTTCTGGTCCAAAATTCACCATCAGTGGGACTTGAGAAGTTGGCTGCCTCTAAGGTGAACACTCACCTGTTCTCCTTGTTTCACAAAATTGTTGTGAAGAGGAGAGTTCTTCCTTCAAGTCCTGAAGAAATGGGGTGTTGCACTGTCTGCTCCTTTTCACAGTCATGACTCTCATGGGTGAGATTGCCAGGTTCAGTTGGGTGGGTTGATCACTGCACAACTGGGGAGCAAGAGTGGCTGAGATCCATCCAGCTCCTGTCCCGCTCCTCACCCCCTGGTGGTGGTTATCTAATTCCATCATTCTTGAGCAGTTGCTGGTTGACGTTCTACTGTAATGAAGAACGTTGTCCTCATCACCATCTATTTATTTAGTCACACATTCCAGCGCAGACTCAGGGTGCATTCTGTTACTGTCATTGTTCGTCTTTATGCCCGAACTATCCTGGGTTTGGCCAGTGGGCCCCTGCAGGCCAGCTCCTGTCTCCTTTGACCTAGCCTTGTTGTTCTCCAGGCACTTTGGACATGGTTGTGGCGGCACAATAATGTCTTCCACATCTAGGGAGCAGCTGGCTTCAGGTCCTCGTCCACCTTAGGGACAAGAGTCTTCACCCAGCTTTAACACCTGACTTCTCCAGGGTCCTGCCAGCGCTGTCCCCTTGCCACTAACTCAGCCCACAGGATAAAACGCACAGGAAGAGGTTTCTGATGTCAGAGGACCCAGGATCACACCCCCTGCAGGGGTGCGTAAGGCTAACTCATGGGATTTCTCTCCGCAGAAGAAGATGAAACTCCGAGGTACCAAAGACCTGTCCCTCGCGGCCGTGGGGAAGTACGGGACCCTGCAGGAGTTCTCCTTCTTTGATAAGGTGAGCGCGGGCCCTGGCTTCCTTCCTCCGGGGCCATATCCAGCCGCTGGTGCAGTGCTGCCTGAGCAGGTTCCCGTCCGGCAGGTCTCGCTCAGCCCAGGTCTGCAGGATGGTGCTCCTGGGCGAGGGAGGTGGCTCTTGGGAGAGGGTGGCCTCCTGCTCTCTCCACAGAAGGGGTGTGGGCTGTGTGGAGCTGGAGTGTGGTGTGGCAGGCGGGAGGTGGCTGGGCAGTGGGAACGCCAGAGCTCCCTCCAGACAGGGTTCAGGGACATGTGTGTCTGCCACCCTGCACCTATGTGGCCTTTTCTAAATCGAGGGTGGCCCTGGGCTTCTGCCCAGAGTCAGTGGGCAGAGCGGTTGAGATGGCCTGCACATGTGCAGACAGAGCCCAGGCTGAGAGTTGCCCTACGGGCAGTGTTCACTCCCCGGCCACACCCGCCCTTCAGAGCTCTGCTGGCGTTGGTGGTGTGTACACCTGGTTGTGTCCCAACTGCCCGCTGGCTGAGGAGCAGGCTCCCAGCAGCCCCTGACGTGCTCTCCCCACAGGTGCGCAGGGTGCTGAAGAGCCAGGAGGTGTACGAGAACTTCCTGCGCTGCATCGCCCTCTTCAACCAGGAGCTGGTGTCGGGCTCCGAGCTCCTGCAGCTGGTCAGCCCGTTTCTAGGGTGAGCAGCCGGCTTCCCAGGGCCCCCGGGTGGGTCTGTCTGCCTGCAACTCTATCCGCCTCGTTTTTGAAAAATGATGCATGTGTCTTATGGTTTTGTTTTGTAATTCAAATTGTTATTGAGATTGTTTTAGATATAAGTATATTTGTCAGAAATGATATGGAGAAAGCCAGGGGATTCTGTTTCTCTGAGGGTGAGTGTCCTAACCAGGATATTGACATTTAGGCAACCCACCAAACTAGCTTCCCCATTGTACCCATTTTGTGTGTATATAGAGGGTCCCCAACTTAATGATGTTCTGCTTACAATTTTCAACTTTATGTTAGTGTTGAAGCAGTACAGCATCTTCAAAAAAAAGGACCAGGCAGAAGGAAAATAATACAGGTAATAAACTTGCATCTGCCTGAAAAAAGGAAGAGCATCAGAGAAAAATATAAAAATGAAAATATAAATGAATGAAGTTTTAAGCTCGGTGTGGTGGCCATGCCTGTAGTCCCAGATGCTGTGGAGAGACTAGCTTGAGCAATGTGACAAGATCCTGTCTCAAAGAAAATGGTTTTAAAGGGCTGGAGAGGTAGCCTAGCAGGAGAGAACTTGCCTATCATGGGGGAGGCCTGGGTTCCACCTCTAGCACCACCAACAAAACAAAACAACACAGAGAACATCTTGCACATGGTGGGTACACACTATATGTTGTTGTTCTGTTCAGTTCTTCTAACAACTCTGCAGGCTGCTGCTCTGGGAATCCCTTGGCATTAATTAAACATAAACTTCCTGCCTGGCACAGTGGCTCGGGAGGCTGAGGCAGGAGGATCCCAAATTCAAAGCCAGCCTCAGCAACTCAGTGAGGCCCTAAGCACCTCAGTGAGACCCCATCTCTAAGTAAAATATGAAAAGAGGGCTGGGGAGGTGGCTCAGGTTTTAAACACCCCTGGGTTCAATTCCTGGTACCAACAAAAACCAAAACAAACTTCTTTGTACTTTTTTTTCTAATGTAAAGTGAAACAGGAAACCTCCCAGTGGTGTAGAAAGTCATGATTGGGCAGACACTGGGGACCTACCATTCAGGTCACAAACAGCTGCTCCAGCTCCCAGGAGCTCCTCCAGGCACACAGCCTTCACTGTCTCCTGACTGGAGTAGTGCAGCCACCCTGATGGGCTACTCCAAGCCGTTCGGGGTTGGTTTCTCATGGAGTGCTCCTCCTTACCTTCTGGGGATACCTTCCAAGACCCCCAGTGACTGCCTGAGACAGTGGTTGATACTTGGTGTCCCAGGAGGATTAGTCCCAGAAATCCTCATAGCTACCCACGACTGTGAGTGCTCCGGTCTCCTGGATAAAATGGCATAGTGTCCCCACGGGACCTCCACACCCTCCTGCAGACTTGAAACCATCTCCAAGGAACGTGGGATACCGAACGTGACATGCAGGCTGTGTACACGACTGTTAGAGCTGTTGTCTAGGAAATAGAGGAAGGGTCTGTACTCGTTCAATACAGACACAGACCTTCCTGGGGTGTGATAATGCGTTTCTACCTTTTTTTTCTTTTTTTTAAGCTGAGGAAGCCAAAGCCCTGATCAATTACTTACCCAGGACAGGCTCTCCTAAGTGAATTTGGTGTGCTATTAGGCAGAGTCCCAGGCGCTCCAGCCCCAGTGCCTAGCCCTTGGCTTGTCCTCTGTCTTCAGGGTATGCATGTGGCCAGAGAATGTAGAGTTTGGCATAAATGGGATCACACCTTTGGGCTGAGCCATAGTGTATTTTTTTGGTGGTGCTAGGCGGGTGCTCGACTACCAAGCTACGTCCCCCACCCTGTTACTTCATTTTGAAATAGGGTCTCCTCAAGCTGTCCAGGCTGTCCTTGAACTTGCGATCCTCCTGCCTCAGCCTCCCAGGTAGCTAGGATTACAGGCGGGCTCCTCCACACCTGTTCATTTCTTGGGCATCTTTTAGTGTCAAATATGAGTCCACATCATCATTTTTGTGGCCAATGGTATCACCTTACCTCTATGTACCAGTTACAATGGGCATTAGTCTCCCATGAGCCAGGTTGACAGCACACTCGCTGGGCTGCCAAACTCACAGCACCAGCCATGGTCACCAGGAGACGCTTCCCGGGCGTCCCAACAGACAGTATAGGAACGTGAAGGCGATACTTCACTCCTGGACTCTGCCAGGCCGTGAAGGTCTTATGCTCTGAGAGCAGCCCAGGGCGGGTTGGCAGTGTCAGCCTCAGCTACACTTCGCTGGCTTCCCATGTGGACATGGGACACATTCCCACTGAGGCCCCTCTGCCCAGCTCAGAGTGCACTGCTCTGAGCCAGGACCTGGCCGGGCAATAGACAGTGCTTCCGGCAAGATAGCTTCTGCAGTGTGTGGGACGTAGGAGGCACCCTCGCACAGCTAGCGGGTGGCATTTGTGGTGTGTGACCAGCCCTGAGCCTGAATCAGGACCCTGCTTCCTACTGGGAGGGTGGGGCCTCACCTTCTGCCTTTGTCCAGGGGCCATACCTCCTCCTGCAATGATCAGGAGGATTGAAGGAGAGGAATGAAGGACTGAGCCTCTGACAGGTGGACAGTGCTTGGTCAGGGCCACTGTTTGGTCTCCGTGTCCCTGCAGCAGCGAGAGATTTGTATGAGGGAGGGTACTTGGGGTTCTGCGTCAGGCAAGGTCCATGGAGAATGGAGCAGGCCTTGCTGGCCGGAAGCATGCGCCTCTACAGGGCCTTTCTTTGCACGCGTCAGCTTCAGCACAGGGGCAGCTGCACTGAGCATGACCCAGGGAACTGCCGCGCCCCCTGTAGCTGCCCAGCTGGGGGGGGGGTGAGTCCGGTTGACGGTCCCTTCCGAGTGTGAGGAACCTTTATCCAGCAGAAGCCTCCAGGCCCCCTGCACCGTTTTCCTCGCCCTCTTTCCTCTCCACGTTGCCATTTGCCTGGGGTCTCCTGGGAGCAGAGCAGGGGCTGGGCCTTCCTCACAGGGGTTTGCAGACAGCAGTATCATGGTGGGGGGATGTAGTCTCTGCGTGCCACTGGGCTGCCCAGCTTAGGCACAGCAGGATTGTCATGCAAATGGGGTGACCACATCCTCTTTGGTAGGATTTGATATTTTAAACAGAAATTCAAGTGGCAGTAGGGGTCAATTGCAGTAAAGTCCTCCTAGTGACACTGGTGGTTGCATTGTGGCTTGTGAGAATGTGTCCCTAGATGGGCTCGCAGGGAGGAGTCTCCCCATGAGGGAGGAAGGCTCTAGATCAAGGGCAACAGACTTGATCTGAAGGGACAGTCCCTGTGGAGATTTGTCCACTCTAGTCCTGCAAAAGCAGCCACAGGAGTAGTAAGCAAATACCCAAAACGGTGTCAATAAAACTTTATTTATAAAAACAGGCAGTGGGCAGATGGGTGGCTTCTGTCCAAGGAATGAGACTGCTCCTGGGCTCCTGCCTTCTGGAGCCCCAGTTTCTGCCACATAACGTCATTATTTCATCCCCACAAACCTGGGGCCAGATATTCCTCAAAGACAGCCATAGAGGGTCCCACAGCAGGGCCCCAAACTGTCCCAAGATGGGGCCAGGGATTCCAAATCATGAAGCCCCCAGCTCTGGGGTGATCAGCCCAAAGCATCTGTTGAGGAAATTGGAGTGCTGAAGTGTGTCCTTATGGCGGACAGGGAGAGCGAAGGAGTGACCACCTGGGCATGGGCCTAGCGCCCTGGGGATGGAGTTTTGTGAGGGCTTAGGGGATTTAGCTCAGGGCCAGGCTGGTTTCTTTCTGTGTTTCGTCGACAGTCTCAGCTCTGTTGCCTTCCCCTGGGAGTGGCCTGGGCCGTGGATGGGGCTCAAGTCTGCTGTGGGACCTGCAGCCTGCTGGGTCCCAGAACCAGCAAAGTACTGTGTGTGTTCCCTTCAGTCATGACAGGAAGGGAACAAAGAACTGGGAGACATTACATCCTCCTTTCCAGCATGTATTGAGGCCCCCCTGTGAGTGGCTGGGTCAGTAGCTGCAAACAGGCTTGGTTTTTGACCCAAAAGGGTAGGGGCAGATTTACTCAAAGCCCCAGAGTGGAGGAGAGACCTTATGCCCTCGAGGCTCTGCTCTGTCTTCTGCTCCCCACCCCTGCGTTCACTTTGTCTCTAACCTCAGGTGGCCCCAGGGATGCCAGCTTACAGTTTATCTTTGTCTTTGAAGGAAATTTCCAGAACTGTTTGCACAATTCAAGTCTTTCCTGGGGGTAAAAGAGCTGTCGTTTGCGCCACCCATGAGCGACCGATCTGGGGATGGAATAAGCCGGGAAATTGACTATGCATCCTGCAAGCGCATCGGGTCCAGCTACCGGGCTCTCCCCAAAACCTACCAGCAGCCCAAGTGCAGCGGGAGGACAGCCATCTGCAAGGAGGTAGGGACCGGGGCTCCGAGGTCAGCCCGCAGGGCTTCCTCCCCAGCCCGCCCAGCCCTCCAGCAAGCACTGTGGCCCCATGCTGCGTAGGAGACCCAGTGCTGGCCCCCCAGGTATGGGAAGACAGATGGGGCCAGGATCTGGCCTGGAATCCTCCTGGGCAGAGGTGGCAGTTTCATACCCAAAATGCAGATATGTGGGATTTGACTCACTCCTCCATCATTTAGACCTGGGATCATTGCCGCTGGGATCCCGCTGTGTCTCTGAGTTACTGACATCAGTATGGTTTAGCTTGACCCGGAGACACTGGAGAATTCGTGGACAGGAGACTGCCACATTCTAGGATTCAGGAGCACCTGCTGGTTCCAGAACATCTGTAGTCCAGGGGTTTTCGAAGTGCCATCAGCCAGACCTGCCACCTGTCTCTGTCTGACGTTTCACCAGCACACAGCCATGCCCATTGAGGGCACGTCGCCCGTGGCTACCTTCTCAGGACACAGGCAGGGGGCAGTGTTCAAGACAGACCAGTGGCCCACAAGACGTAGAATGGTGGTCATCAGGCCTTTCAACAGAAAGTCTGCCGACCCCAGGGATAGTTTAATGCGGTCTCTGAACCAAAGTCCTAGGTCTCCTTAAAATCTACTCTGAAATCAGATTTACTATTTGTATGGTCAAGTAATCACCTATACATGAGGACAGTGTCACACATCTTCTGTGCCAAGTAGCACTGTTAACATCTGGCCACTGGCACCTGCCTCCCTGTCACTTGTTTCCTCTTGGTGCAGGTGCTGAATGACACCTGGGTCTCCTTCCCCTCCTGGTCAGAAGACTCCACCTTCGTCAGCTCCAAGAAGACGCCCTACGAGGAGCAGCTGCACCGCTGTGAGGACGAGCGATTCGAGGTGCGGTGCCAGCACCCCTGGCCCTATTCTCCCGGCCACCTGTCCTTCCTTCCCACCCTCTGCTGCACTCTCCCCTCACCTCCTGTCCACCTGATGTCCCCCGGGGCTCATCCCCTTCTTCCTTCACACCTGTTAGCCCTGGGAGCAGGGATCCCAGCACTTCCTGGCAGTGGGCGGCGCCCCAAGGCGTCCTGTTTCTTCTGGTCCTGGTGGCCCCTGTGCTGGTAACACAGTCATGTCCCCGTCTCCAGCAGTATTGAGGGTGGAACCTAGGGCCTCACATGTGCGAGGCAGCGGCTCTGCCCCTGTGCTGGACCCCGGCCCTTTTATTTTGAGACTAGATTTGCTGAGTTGCCCAGGCTAACAGTTCATTGTATTTTTTTTTTCATTGAAATTTTGATTAAGATCATCAAAGTCATAAGCAAGTCCCAGGGTGACGTCTTGCAAAACTCCAGGACAGCGCCACAGCCAGGGCCCCGACATCAAAACAACCGTTGATCTCTTTCAGATCCCCAGTTGGACTTGCACTCACCTGTGCACTCACGCACGCGTGCGTGTGTGTGTGTGTCTGTGTGTGTCTCTGTGTATGTGTGTCTGTTTGTCTCTGTGTGTGTGTGTCTGTTTGTCTCTGTGTGTATGTGTGTGTGTGTGTGTGTGTGTGTGTGTGTGTCTGTTTGTCTCTGTGTGTGTGTATGTGTGTCTGTGTGTTTTCCACTGCTGCCGCAGGACCGCAGGTGGGGATCTGTAGCAAACAGAGACGCCTTGGCTCGAGTTTCCACAGGCTGAGAAGCCCAGTGTCAAGGTGCCTGCCTCTGGCGAGGGTCCTCTTGCATCATCACAGGGGAAGGGCAAAGAGGGCAGGCAAGATAAGGGGACAGAACGTGGCCTTTGGCAACAAAGCCCCTCCTGTGACACTGTCCACCAGCCCCGAGGGTGGTCCAGATGCTCGGCCTGCTTGGAGGTTCCGCTGCTGGGTGCTGCTGCTCTGGGCAGCTCAGCTTCCTGGTGGGGGGGTTGAGACCACAACAGAAAGAGCGTGCGTGTGCACAGGCGTGTGCATTTATGCGTGTGTGTGGAATGTACGTGTGCATGCATGTGTGCCTTCTTCTCACCTGTGGGGGTTCCTGTGTCCACTAGAGTCCAGGTTCTGGACAGCTCACCCCTCATGCTGCCCTAATTCATAACCAAACCAGCTCCTGTCCCATCCCCACCCTGTCCCTACTCCTGCCAGCCTGTCCTCCCCTCTGTCACTTTGTCATTTCAAGAAGTTGTTTGTCACCACAGTGTCTTCAGGGCTGTGTTGTTGAGCATAACTGTGCTTTTGATGCCCTGGAACAGGGTCAGCCTAGGGACCGTTCCCCTCCTCAGATGTGTCCTTTGTTGTCCTGGCTGCTGGCCGCTCACGCTGTGGTGGGCCATCTGCAGGTCTGTCAGTGGTGCCATCGCTGGGGTCCTGACACCCACCCCAGGCCACCGGGCTCACCTCGGGCAGCCCCGACCCACTCTTCCCTTTCATATCCAGCACAGTGTCCCCTGCACAGACCAGGTGCCCACTTCCCCACGTACCAGGCACCTCCCTGAGTGCCTGTGACTGACGTGTCCCGACTTCCTTTCTGTAGTTAGATGTTGTCCTGGAGACCAACCTGGCCACCATCCGTGTGTTGGAAAGTGTGCAGAAGAAGCTCTCGCGGATGGCACCAGAAGACCAGGAGAAGTTCCGGCTGGATGACTCCCTGGGCGGCACGTCGGAGGTGATCCAGAGGCGCGCCATTCACCGCATCTATGGTGACAAAGCCCCTGAGATCATCGAGAGCCTCAAGAAGAACCCCGTCACCGCCGTGCCTGTCGTCCTGAAGAGGTGTGGTAGGCTTCCAGCACCCTCCTTCCTCGGGGAGCCCAGTGGGGGCCTGTGGCCTCAGGCTGGCACTGCTCCCAGCTTCCGTCCTCTCCCTGCTCCCAGGGGAGTGCTGTAGACGTGGCTAGTCCTCCTGGGACCCTCCTGTGCCCACGGCCACACTTAGACATAGAGTCAGTCATCCCTCTGAGCCGCAGACTGGCTCCAGGACCCCATGGATGTCCAAATCCATGGGTGCTCAAGTCCATCTATGAAACAGTGTGGTTTCTGTGTAGAACTCACCGTATCCTCCTGTGGACTCGACTTGTGATGCTGACTGCAGTGCAGGTGCCAGGTGAATAGTTGTACTGTATTATTTAGGGATTGCAACTCAGTTGAAGACACGAGTTTCTTCCCTTCAGATATTTCAGTCTGCAGTTGGTTGAATCTGCAGAGCCGAGGCTGTGGTGGGAGGGCTGGCTGTCACTACTTTAAAACACAAATGGGACCCTGCTGTGTCAGAGCTTGGTGTTTCGTAACAGCACTTCTTAGAAACTGACCTGCGCTCACAGGTGCTTTACTTACTAAGTGGCCTCTCGCAGGCGGGCACCAGCCCCCAGGTCGCAGACCTGGGCAAGGCTACTGCGGCTACTTCCCACAGGGTGCCAGTTGAGCAGAGGAGCTGACTGGGGACCAGCAGCCACAGAGTGTGCTCTGTGCCCGGGAGGAGGAAGAGGAGCTGAAGCAGCTCCAGTGCTCCACAGCCCCGGCCACTCTTTCCCTTTCACATCCGGCACAGTGTCCCCTGCACAGACCAGGTGCCGTCGGACTAGGCCTGAGTCGTGGCTGTCCCCAGTCGAGTCTAGGAGAAGGACAGACTTGTGTCCTACAAGGAAGGTGCCCTGAGGAGTCCCCAGTGCTGAGTGCATCTCGTCCCTGCAGGCTGAAGGCCAAGGAGGAGGAGTGGCGGGAGGCCCAGCAGGGCTTCAACAAGATCTGGCGCGAGCAGTATGAGAAGGCCTACCTCAAGTCCCTGGACCACCAAGCCGTGAACTTCAAGCAGAACGACACCAAGGCCTTGCGCTCCAAGAGTTTGCTCAACGAGATCGAGAGTGTCTATGATGAGGTGAGGACCTCCTGCCTGAGGCCAGGCAAGCGGGCGTAGGCAAGGGCCAGCCCCTGGGTCTCCTGCCGCTGCAGGCAGGTGGCCAGGTCTCTGTGCCTTTATTTCCCAGCAGGTAGGGGCTTAGTGGCTTCACCCTGCAGGGCTGTTGGGTGAGAGTTGTTCCTGGGTACTGCAGCCCAGGGGAGTCAGGGACTCTGCCGGTGTTGGGGAGAGGCTCCCCGGGGCGTGGAGGACTATGTGCAGTCAGCTATCAAGAGCGGCTTCCATCTGTCATCGCTGCCTGTGCTCCAGGCACTGCTAGTACTCCCAGAAGGAATGTCACAAACCCTGCTTGCTGGGCGCAGCTGTCATTGTGCTGATTTTGCAACAAGGAGATGGAGGCACCAGACATTGCCACTAACTGGGGACCAGGGTCCTGAGTCCCTGGATCCTCTGACCCTGGGCTTTGCCTCTGGCTCTTATGGTCTGCCTCGCCACTTGGCAGGCTGTGGCCCGTCGGGCTCAGGGGCACGAGGAACAGAAATGTGGCAGAGCCGCTCCCTCTGGTTTTAAGAGTCTGGCCCTTGGTACAACCTGCAGGGGAGCCACTTGTTTGCAGGAGCCCAATGTGGGAAGCTTGGTGGGAAGGTGATGGCCCCTGGACATGGTGGCAGCCAGATGCCGGAGAGGAGGTGGCCAGGGAAGGGACACTTCTCCTTGGGCAGGAGCCGAATGGGGGTGGAGCTACTTCACCATCTTGGTGTCTACCTGGGCAGGTGACATCTGCTTCACGCCTCTAATCCCGGCCACTGTGGCATCTGAGGAATTCAAGACCAGCTTGGGCACCTTAACAAGACCCTTTTCAAAATAAGTAGTAAAAAGGGCTGGGGATGTAGCTCAGTGTTAGAGCTGCTGGGCTCAGTTCCCTGTGTTACATACACGCATGCATACGTCATCAGTCACTGAGTCCCCGTCATTCCTTAGTAACCACACAGTGAAGATTATACCTCAACTTATAATATGGAAATCAAAGGCAGAGGAGCTGGAAACTGATCTGAATTCTCCTGCACTGTATGGGACACAGCTGGACAACCTGTCTGCCCAGAGCATGTGTGACCATTATGGACACCATCCAGGGCCCAGCCACAGCTGGCCTTCCCTCCAGGGCCCTCCCTGCTGGGCTGTCTGACTGCTGAGGCCCTAGGTCTACCCTGAGGCCCACCCCAAGGGTGCTCTGGCTTCCTTACTTTAGTCCTGGGTGGGTCCGCAGGCCCGAGACCTGTCTGTGGGGCTAGAGACACCTGCAGGATGGGGCTGATGATATGGCTCTCGGACCCACCCATGCTACTGCTGAGGTCCTGGGCCTCTGCCAGGGGCTGGGACTGATAGGGTTCCCGGGTACAGGGACACTGCCGCCTTCACCCCCCACCTGGCGAGTCTCGTGGTGGTCCCTGTTCATACCTGTCAGACCCTCATCTTGCGGTTCGCAGAGCACCTTTGCCATCTCATGCATGCCTTGTTCTAAAGAGGACTTTTTAAGATGCTTTTCGAGGGCATCTGTGGTGTAGATGAGGCAAGGGAATTGGGAAGCTGGAGGGGAGCTCAGGTCACACTGAGGAGCCAGGGCAGGGCTGAAGTGCAGCCCACTGTGGGCGCCAGCTCCCCAGGAGCAGCCCCGCTGACGTCGCAGGCTAGTGACCAGTGCCTCCCATTTGTAAGGGAACACGGCCTCCAATGAGAAGCAGGACTCCTCTGCTCCGGAAAGCTGGGGTCCTGGCCAGGGTCTGTGTGGAAGGACCCCCTGCTCATTCTGTGTTTGAGGGGCCCCTCAGTATCGTGCCCTGGACTCACCACTGAGAGCCTGAAGGACACCCAGCCCTGCCCACAGGGATACACTCACTTTACACAAGAACCCGGGCACCTCTACCTCTCTGTCTGGTGTTTAGAGGATCAGTGGGCCACGCAGGAGAGGACTGGGTGTCATGGGGTGCTGGAGGAAGTAGTGACTGTCTTTGGGTTTGGGGAAGAAAAGTCGTTATCCAGACGAAGCCTGAGGGCAGCAGTGAGCCCAGGGAGGAGGTTGTCTGGGGAGAGCAGGTGAGCAGACAGGCATGTGCAAGGGCCCTGTGCATGGCAAGGGGAGCACAGTGCCCCCAAAGCATCAGAGAGGAACGGGGGCTCCTTGAGACCTTAGGGGCCACAGGGCAGGGCACCGGAGGCTGGGGTTTTCTGGGGTTTTCTGGGGGCCTGGGCAGGTCTGGGTGGTTCAGTGACTGGCCCTGCTGCTCTCAGCCAGATCTCCGTGGACGCAGGAGAGTGGGTGGGGCTGGTGGAGGGTGGGGAACAGACAGGGGTGGTAGGGTCTTGGTGACGTGCATGGTGTGAAGGACTGCAGAGGGACAGAAGGGGATCACGAGCACCAGTGCATGAGTGACAGGAGGCCAGAGAGGCCCGGGGCCCACCAGAGCCTCCCTTACCCCAGGCGCCCGAGTCAGCTGGGACCAGGGGCTGGGGATGCTGCCCACCTCCTGGCACCTGGCTTCTGGGCTGCCATGGGCTCTGGTGGTGGCCAGTTGACCTTGTCGGAGGGTGGCCTGGCAGGGAGCCGCATGCCCTTTCAGGTACCAGGGCTAGACTGCAGCTCAGGCCTGAGTGTGAGGCGTTAGAGCCCCTGTGGTTCTCAGGACCCCCATCTTGGGGTTCACTCAGCTTTGCTGCCTGGGACCTGTGACTCTTCCTCACTTGAGCAAGAGGACCAGGGACATGGGCTCCGGGAGAGGCTGAGCAGATGTTCCGCATCCCAGCTTCTGAGTGTCCTCACCTCCCTGGGCAGCGCACATCCACTCTGGGTCCCGGCGCAGTGACTTGTCTGTGAGGGTGGGGACACTGCCTGGTGCCGGGTGCTTCCCACCTAACGGTTGCTCTGTCCCCTCAGCACCAGGAGCAGCACTCGGAGGGCCGCAGTGCCCCCTCCAGCGAGCCGCACCTCATCTTCGTCTATGAGGACAGGCAGATCTTGGAGGACGCGGCGGCCCTCATCAGCTACTACGTGAAGCGGCAGCCAGCCATCCAGAAGGAGGACCAGGGCACCATCCACCAGCTGCTGCACCACTTCCTGCCCAGCCTCTTCTTCTCCCAGCAGCTGGACCTGGCGGCTTCAGAGGAGTCAGCCGATGAGGACCGGGACGGCCCCCAGGGCCAGAGCTCAGACCCCAGCGAACGAAAGAAGCCAGCATCAGGGCCACAGAGCAGCCCCCCAGAGGAGAAGGGGACCTTTGGGGACACGCCAGCTGCTGAGCAGCCACTTGCACCACCACCCAAGCCGCTGGACGACGTGTATAGTCTCTTCTTCGCCAATAACAACTGGTACTTCTTCCTGCGCCTGCACCAGACCCTGTGCTCCAGGCTCCTGAGGATCTACCGCCAGGCCCAGAAGCAGCTGCTGGAGCACCGCACCGAGAAGGAGCGGGAGCAGCTGCTGTGCGAGGGCCGCAGGGAGAAGGGCAGCGACCCCGCCATGGAGCTGCGCCTCAAGCAGCCCAGTAAGCACCCCATGGGGCCCTGGGTTTAGGCTCACGACTTGTGACCAGAGGCACAGATTGCATTTCTGGGTGGCCTTTGGTTGTGAATAGTCATCCCTCTGTGTCCTTAGGTTCCACGTCCTCAGCTTCAGCCACCTGCACACTGAAAATATCCCCCCTAAATCACATCTGTGCCAGACACGTACAGACCTTTATTTTATTGTCGTGATCCCTAAACAATACAGTGTAACAGCTGTGCCTGAGCGTGCTTTCAACTAGGTGTTCTGAGTGACCAGAGGGGATTCAGAAGTCTAGGGGACTGCACATGGGTCTGTGTAGATACATGTCATGGACAGAGGGACTTGAGCATCTGTGGGTTGGTATCTGTGGGGTCCTGAACCAATCCCTTGTGGATACCAAGGGTCAACTGTTAATTATATGATTTTGAGTGGAAAGTTGCAAATGGAACGTTGCCAACGTACTAAGAGATTCTCCAGTACCCCTCCCGGCTTCCTCCAGCAGTGACCCCTTTCCTAGATGTAGTCATGTCCAGACAGGAGACAGGCTTTGCACGTTATCATCCTCCTCAGCCTTGTCTCACCAGTCTTCCTGGTGCGTGTAAAGCCACCACAGCCGTCCCTAGCTGCCATCCCCAAGTCTCACGGCTGAGCCATGTATCCAGACTGAGCAGCCGGGGTGGGGGTGGGGGTGCAGCCTGGCTGCTCGTGTTCCCTGGTGATGCCAGATTCGCCCTGGGTCGGCTGCGCGTATGCCAGGTCCTTGGTGGGGGCTGCCAGGCCCACAGTGGGGTTTCCCCGGGCTCCGAGGTGGGGACTCAGCCCACGGTCTGCTCGTCCTCCTGGGAGGCAGTGGCCACGGTGTGGGGTGGAGCCTCACGGTCCATCTTCCCTAGGTGAGGTGGAGCTGGAGGAGTATTACCCGGCCTTCCTGGACATGGTGCGGAGCCTGCTGGAGGGGAGCATCGACCCCACGCAGTACGAGGACACCCTGCGCGAGATGTTCACCATCCACGCCTACATCGGCTTCACCATGGACAAGCTGGTACAGAACATCGCACGACAGGTGAGCAGGGCCGGGGCCTGGCTCGCTGTCCTGCCCAGCCTCGGCTGCACTGGTGGGTTTGGACTTGGGAAATCAGGCCTTCCTCCACTCACGTACCAGAAGGCTGGCCCTGTGGTCGGCTCAGAAGACCTTTCCATTCGTTCTATTGAGATGAAATTCAAATAACATAAATTAATCATTGGGAAGTGCATAGCTCATAGCATTTAGTACAGAACAAACATCCCTAATCCCCAAACCCAAATCCTGAATGCTCCAAAATCCACAACTTTGAGCATCCATCTGATGCCAGGGGTGGAAAACTCCACACCATATAACTTTGTTTTACGCACAAAATGATTTAAAAAACTGTATAAAATTGCCTCCAGCCTGTGCGTATGAGGTGTGTAAGAAGCACAAGTGAATTTCTTGTCTAGGCTGAGTCCATTCCCAGAATGCCTCATCATGCACGTTAGATATCCCGAAAGCTGAAAACACCCACGATCCAGAACATCTCTAGTGTCCAGTGTCTGGATAGGGGATGCTCACCTGTGTGTCCATGGCGTTGTGCGGCTGCCACCTCTTTCTAGTCCCAGAACATTTTCATTCCCCCAAAAGAGAGACCTCCATCCCCCTCCCTCAGCCCCTGGCAGCCGCTGCCCTGCTTCCTGTGTCTGGGTATTCCTGTGCTGGCCACTGCACATCAGTGGACTCACGCACCATGTAGCTTTTTGCATCTGGCTTCTGTCACTTGTGTGATGTTTTTGATGTCCATCACTTTGTGGCCTGTGCCAGTGCTTGGTTCCTTTTCAGGGCTGCGTAGCCTTCCCTCCTGTGGCCGATGTGTTCAGCCATTCCTCCACGGCAGGTGGTTGGGTCGTGGCTGCCTTGTCTCCACAGAGCAGCAGTGTCTGTGTGAGCTCAGGGTTGAGTCCCTGTTGGTCTTCTTGAGGGTAAATGGATGGCACATGTCCACTTACCCTGGGGGACATCAGCCATGCCTATCAACAGCAGTTTTATTGCTGGTGGAAAATGGCCACAGCTAAATGTCAGCAAAGGATGTGGGTCATAAACAAACAGCAAAAGCCCAGCTGAGCTGGATGAGGCCCAGACACGAGTCTGCCTGGTTGCTGCCGGAACTGTTCAACGCGACCTCTGTTTCCTGATTATCAAATGAGGCCATTTATTGTCAAGCAGATAAGAAGTTGGGAAAGAAAGTGTGTGGTTAACCCTCATCCAGACATGGCCAAGGGAGCTCTTCATCCTCCAGGATTCAGGGCCTTGGCCTCGCCCAATCCCACCAGGCCTCCACCGCTGAGCCTCACCCAGCCCCAGAGACTGTTTGCTGAAGTAGAGCACAGATGGGAACGAGCCAGGTCCAGAGCAGCGGGTGGGCTTTCACCAGTGCAGCTTCCCCCTCATGTCCCCAGCCACCCACCTGCCATGGGCTTCCATCCTGCCCTCTGCACCAAGCGCTGAGCCCTGTGTAATGGCCGTGCCCAGGAGCACCATTCTGGGGACTCCTGGTTCCCCCACTCCTGTACCCGCTGAGGACGCCTGGGCCGTACCCCGTCCGGGCTGTGAGCAGCAGCATGTTGTGCCCCTGTGCCCTGGTGCAGGATGCGAGTGTGTCCTGCTTCCCAGGGCTCACCTGGCAGTGGGCAAGGCCGTGCCCTGTGTCCTCGCCAGGGCTCACCATCCGTGGTCCTGCTCCCGTGGGTGCCTTGGGGCTCACATTGCTTGGGGGTGTGGCCTGTGGAGCCGTCCTCCGTGTGTACCCTGTTGCCCCAGAGCTGCCCTGTCCACCTACAACCAGGGGGCCATGGGGCTCTGCAAGGCAGCAGCTGTGTCTGGATGCCACCCTCCTTGATCTCCACTTCCCCTGCGAGTCAGGGGTGGGTCTCTGTCCCTTCCTGACTCCATCTGCAGTGGTGACCACTTTGGCTGGGTCATGGAGAAACAGCACCCAGGTTCCTGCACAGTGTCCCATGGCTTCTGGGACAGCAGGCTTGTTTGCAGCACCAGGAGGTTAGGCCAGATTGGGCACTTTGATTACTATTTGGGTGGGGGGAACCTTTCTACAGAATCTCTAGAACCTGTGCAGCTGACCTGCCGTGCCCTGGTCTCTTGCTGCCTGTTGTCCCCAGCCGTGGCTGTACTGAGCTCCAACCACAGCCCCAAGGCCAGGTTCCCCCAAGGGCTCCTCCACCCTGCCATTGGTGATCTACCTTGTCCAGGTTGGGTCTGACGTCTGACTCTCGGTCTCCCTTTTTTTCTTTGGAGGGCCAAGGAAGGTACCGGGGTGGGGGTGGGGGTGCAGCCTGGCTGCCAACTGAGCCACCTCCCCAGCCCTATTTTGTATTTTATTTAGAGACAGGGTCTCAGGGCCTCACTGTTGCTGAGGCTGGCTATGAACTGGCGATCCTCTTGCGTCAGCCTCCCGAGGCACTGGGGTTCCAGGCGTGCGCCACCGTGCCTGGCTCAGCCTCACTTTTTAAAAAATCAGCATTTTTTAAAAATATGCTCTTTAGCAGCAGCGGGTCTTTGTTGGGTGCCAGCAATGTGCCAGGTACCCCACAAGACCCGAGCATGTCTAGATGTCACTGCACTTATTAACAGTGACAATTGGGGAGGACATGTATGGTACCCTGAGGTGTAGGGCCACCTGTCAGAGCCCAGAGCTGGTGCTGGGCAGAGTCCACGGCACACAGCTGAGGCTCGCCCCCAGCCCCGGCTACTCTCGTCATTTCTTAAGGAACATAAAGATAAGAAACCTTTAAACCAAAGATTTAGGGAAAGTCCCACCTGCCCTCACACTGCTTTCTTCGCTGGATATTTCTCACACCCGGGGGTGGGGGTGGGGGTGGGGGTGGCCTGGCCCCTCTGGCCTCTGTGGTCGGGCTTGGGCTGCTCTGCACAGCTCTGAGGTCACCCTGGGCAGCCCTCAGGATCCTGGTCCTCGCCCCACGTCTCGTTTCTGGCCTTTGCCAACTTCCTCTTGGGTGGGGTGGGGCTGCAGCAGGAGGGGGCTATAGTGCCACCTGCTGTCCCTTTCTGCCAGCTGCACCACCTGGTGAGCGACGACGTGTGCCTGAAGGTGGTGGAGCTCTACCTGAATGAGAAGAAGCGGGGAGCTGCTGGCGGGAACCTGTCTTCCCGCTGTGTCCGAGCCGCCAGGGAGACCAGCTACCAGTGGAGGGCGGAGCGCTGCATGGCCGACGAGAACTGCTTCAAGGTGAGGCCAGCTCCTCCGCCGTACGCAGGCTGGGGCTGCGGTGCCGGAGCCCCCAGGGGCGGCTGCGGAGAGGGCTGGACGCTGGTTTGGCTGCTGGGTGGCCCAAGGTACCATGCGCTTCACCTGCTCAGACTGAGACACTGGCCTGGCCTGCGAGGGTGAGTGCGGGGCCTGCGAGGCCCGCAGCCTACAAGGAAGCATCAGGGCCTTGGAAGGTGGCAGAGCAGGTGACCGATGTCCTGTGACCTTGTCCTGGCCAGCCAGGCTGTCTAGGTGGCTTTAGGCTTTTGTCTCCCCACCTCCACCCCAGGTGATGTTCCTTCAGCGCAAAGGACAGGTGATCATGACCATCGAGCTACTGGACACTGAAGAGGCCCAGACAGAGGACCCTGTGGAGGTCCAGGTGAGGCCCCAGCCCCAAATCCATGCATGTGCATGCTGCATAAGGGAGGGGACAGCATCCAGGGACAGCGTGGCGAGGCTCCTGGGCACACACTGGCCAGGGGCTGCTGGCCACCACTCCAGCAGTGGCTCCTTGCAGGCTGAGCCTCCCTGCTGCCTTTGTCCAGCCCTGTACCCACGTGTCCAGGTCAGCAGGACAGGCAGGGCCGGGGCTCCCGGGCACGCCCACCTCTGGGCGGCAGCTGCAGCGCCTACTGCACGATCCTGGAGGCCGGGATGGTGGCAGGGTCACACTCCTGCAAAGGCTTCCGGGGAGGGTCCTTCCTGGCCTCTTCCATGACCGTGGAGACCCCCTTCAGGAGTTTCCAGGAAACTTGATTTCACTTAGCTCAGGTCTGACTTGAGCAGGGCAGGGAGTGGGTGGAGTCCCTCCACCACACAGGCCATGGCCACCCTGCTGAGCCCTGCTGTTGCCCAGCGCCAGGTCCCGTCTGGTCTCCTCTTCCTGTTGTTTGTGTCCTGACATCCATTCCTGTCCACTCCCGTCCTGGACTCCACTCTCTCTGTGAGGAGCCCCTCCCTCCCATTCCCCGAGTGAGGTTTTATGTGACACCCACCGGAAGGCCATTAGGCAGCCTGGACTTAGCCATAGATGCCTGGAGTAGTGGTCACAGGCCCTGTTTGAACATGACCTGATTGTAGTGTCACCTCCTGGCCAAGTCCTTGGTTGCAGGTGGCGTGTGGTGGTCTCTGTCACAGATCAGACCCTCGGGGACTTCTGGCCTCCCTAGGCTTTGGGCAGGAGGGTGGAGGTCTCCCTGAGCTCCTGAGTAGGGGCCAGGGCGAGGGCCCGTGGCCCTGCCTGGAGGAGTCACGCTGCTGCCTGTCCTCAGCACTTGGCCCGCTACGTGGAGCAGTACGTGGGGACTGAGGGCGCGTCCAGCTCCCCCACCGAGGGCTTCCTGCTGAAACCCGTGTTCCTGCAGAGGTGAGCGAGGCTCATGCCCAGGGCTGGCTTGTCCTGGGGGGCGGCCCTGCCCTCCCGGGGGTGGAGGCCCATTTCAGAGGCCCCCACTGACTGTGGGGCTGCATCCCCCAGCCAGGGAGCAGAGGAACTGGGCCGAGACCCTCAGCGCCAGCCCCGGAGGGAGAAGCCTCTGGAACCGGCAGGGTCCGGCCAGCCGTGGCAGAGGGTGGCTCTGAGATCGGCCTCGGCGGAGTTTAGATTCGGTGGTTTCTGGTTGCTTCGATACACACGCCCTGCCCCAGGAGGCCCTTGGGATGCTCAGGAGTTCCCTGGCCTGCAAACCTCCTCCTCTTCCCGGGGCGTCCCTGGTACCTCCTCTTGCTCCCAGGAACCTCAAGAAATTCCGGCGCTGGCAGTGCGAGCAGGTGCGGGCGCTGCGCGGTGAGGCCAAGAGCTCCTGGAAGCGGCTCATCGGGGTGGAGAGCGCGTGCGACGTGGACTGCCGCTTCAAGCTCAGCACCCACAAGATGGTGTTCATCGTGAACTCCGAGGACTACATGTACCGCCGCGGGACCCTCTGCCGGGCCAAGCAGGTGCCGACTCCCTCTGTGATCGGGTGCCTGCATCTGATTCCTGCACCTCGGGGACCGTGGGTCCGGCCCTCTGTCCCAGGTCCCTGGGCCACCCAAACGCCCCTCCTCTCTGCAGGTACAGCCCCTGGTGCTGCTCCGCCACCACCAGCACTTCGAGGAGTGGCACAGCCGCTGGCTAGAGGACAATGTGACCGTGGAGGCAGCCAGCCTGGTACAGGACTGGCTCATGGGTGAGGAGGACGAGGACATGGTGCCCTGCAAGACGCTCTGCGAGACGGTGCACGTACACGGCCTGCCCGTCACCCGCTACCGCGTGCAGTACAGCCGCCACCCAGCCTCGCCCTGAGCAGCCCCGAGCAGTGACGCGCCCTTGGCCACAGCCTTCGTCCTTGGGATGTTTTCCTGAACAAGTTGGGGCCTCTTGTCCCCAGCCCCGCTGCTGCGGGACAGCCAGCCCCAGAGCAAGGCCCTGCCTCCCCTGGGCTCCCTGGCACGTGTGGGCCTGTCCTGTGCCAAACCTGATCCCTCTGCACTTGGGCCCTGGGCGCAGCCCCGGCCCCCAGGGGTGGGCAGACACCCTGGCCAAGGAGCCCCACTGTGCATCAGGTGCCAAATCCCTGCTGGGTGGGCACGTGCCATCACTGACCCTGAAGTCCCAGGGTCTTGGAAAAGTCACAGGTGACAGATATGCAAGGCCTGTGCTTGGGAGGGGCTGGGTGTCCCCAAGACCCTGACACCAAAGTAGCTGGGCCCTGGGTGGACCCACTTGTAAAGCAGGTCCTTCCCCAGCTCCCCAGAAACGTTGCCTGAGGGTTGGGTGTCAGTCGCGCGGGTGTCAGTCGCGCAGCCAGTGATGGGCACCCTTGGTCATTCTGGAGAAGAGCCCCTCCAGCCCAGCGCTGGGGCTCCCACCGTAACTGTCCAGACCTGGAGCCGGCGTCTGTGCCTAGAAGACCCCTCTCTGGATTAGAGATGCCAGACCCCTTGCTGATCCAGCAGTCACTCCCTGTCCCTGAGGGGAGGGGCTCAGGCCAGGTGCCTCTCTAGAGTGGTGGCCCCACCCAGGGAGCCCTGGGGCACCTGGTCCTGCCCTGCAGTGGGGGTCCTGGAAGTACATGTGTGCGCATGAGCATCTGTTCCTTTGCGCTCTCCTAGTGGCCCTTACCTCTGCAGCAGCCCAGGCCTGCGGCTTCTTAGGGCTGGGGTCTCTGGACGCCGAGTCTCTGTCCTGCAGCACCACCCCAGCAGCCACGCAGCCCTCTGCCTGTCCCCGGGACAGCTCAGCTGCTCCCGGGGTCATTTTCTGTCTTTGCGAAGAGCCGAGGTGACCTGTCCCTCACTGGCCMCCAGGCTCTCTCTGCCAGATCCCACAGGGCGGACTGGGCCAGCGTCTTGGACCTCTTCCCCCAACCTCCTGCCCAGTCCCAGCATCGGAGGGAGCTGGCCCAGAGCAGCCGAGCTCAGCCTCCTGCAGCACAGCTGTGCCAAACTCAAGGATCCAGGCAGCAAAGATGTGTTTCTAGAAGTTTCCTGTGGGACTGGAGGCTCCCAACACCTGTGACCCCAGGCCTGGGCACTTCTGAGCCCATGAGCCCAACACGGGGCCCTTGCCTGTCCCCAGTGTCTCGCAGGCACTTTGTACGCAGCCTGGTCTCCTAGGAGGGGATCTGATCTCGGGGACTCCTGAGCCAGTCCCGCAGCTGGCCGCCTGGGCCCGCCCAGCCCGCAGCCCTCCCCGCCCTCCCCTGTGGCCAGGGGGAGATGGGGCCTGGGTGCTCCCGAGCCCCTCCCCGCGGCCGTCCCACCTCCCGCATGCTTCTGTGGAGCGGCCCTCCGTTTCCAAGGAATTTCTGTTCTGGGGCTTGTCCTTCCTTCGCAGCTGTTTTGAATGTAGTTTTCCATTTCTATTTATTTGCACATTAAGGTTAAAAATTAAATATTGACGTAAAATCAAGAGGTTCTGTCAGTCATTTCCTGTGAGAACCCAGACACCTCCCCGCTAGTGAGCCATTGAGTGTCCCCGTGAGCCCACTCAGGGTCTGGAAGTGCCAAGACCCCCCAGAGGGTGGGACCTGGTTCCTGAAACCCAGAGGAGTTAAGGCAGCCCCTCAGGTGGCAGCGCTGGCCTTCACAGAGGTCACCCCAGCCCAGCCCTGCCTGCCCCAACGTGGGAATATTTTCTAGAACGTTCTGTCCTAATTCCATTTCCACATTCAGTAGAAATGAATCTGAGTGTTGAGTGGTGTCTGCTTTGTGCTTTCTGCGCCCCGCAGGCCATTGCCTCCCCTGGGCCCCCACATCCCGAGGCCTGCCCCAGCACCCACAGAGCCAGCCTCCCTCCTGGCCCCACCCCCCACCCGCCGCCTGCTCCCTGGCCTTCCAGTCTGCGGCCCCTTCATACCTGGGCAGCCCCCCGCCCATCTCTGGGTAACTGCTGCCCTCAGCTCTGCTTACAGTCCTGGCTGGTCCACCTTCCCCTGAGGTTCCACATCCCCTCCTGCTTGTCCCTGGGCCTCCCCTTCCCAAGAGCTGCCCAACCTCCCTCCCAGGACCCAGGTGCGCCCACACCCTGGGTTGCCCAGGCAGAGTCTGCCCTGGGTGCACACCTGAGGGTCAGGGCTGCTGGGCAGGCTGGTCAACCTGGCTGAAGTGGTCCTGTCCCCAGCCCATGTCATCTAGGTGTCCAGGCCCCAGCAGTCAGAAGTGCTACAGGGACCAGAGGACATGCTCCGAGAAGTCCCTGCCCTCAGTGGGCGGGGTCTGACCTACGTACTGACAGTGATGTGATTCGGTCATCACCCAACAGTGTCTGGAGAGGGGCGGTGCAGCAGGGGTCCTGTGAGAGCTCCGACCACCCACCACCTGGACCCAAACTGCCACCAGCTACAGAGGAAGACGCAGCCCTGCGGACGCCTGGGCCACAGCCCCGTGAGACCCAGAGCAGATGGGGTGGGCAGGCGGTCTGTGGGCCTGGAGAGGAAGGGCAGGCGTCCAGGGCTGGATGGGCCAGACCCCAGGCCCTGACTCCCAGAGCTGTCGGAGTGACACTGGGCGTGACATTTGGCACCCTGTTCTCAGGCCAGGCTCAGGGGTTCATGTGCTCGTCCACAGGGTGAGGCCCACTAGGGACAGGGGAGGGGGTGGCAGGCCTGTGGGTGCCCACCCAACTCATCCACCTCCAGTGAGGCAGCAGAGGAGGTGCTCGGGGACAGTCCCTGGGCCTTCCCGGGGTCCCGAAGAACCGGAAGATGAAGAAATCTAGACAAGACCTGGGTCTCTTTGCCAAATTTTCTGTTTAAAAAAATATTTTTAAAAAATAGGTATAAAATAATAATGTAATATAAATTTACCATTGTGACCACTTTTCAGTGTGCCATTAGGGCCCTGAGCACAATCACAATGTCCTGTGCTGTCACCACCATCTCCAGAGTGACCCTATCCGATAAAACTGTCCCCAGGGAAGCCTCAGCCTGGTCCCGCCCCGCCCCTCCACTTTCTGTCTGAACTTGACAACTCCAGGACCTCACAGGGTGGAGTGGGCAGTGTGTGTCTTTCTGTGGCTTCTGTCACTCAGCAGCACGTCCTCAAGTTCCCTCCATGTTACAGATCCTCCCTTTTCAAGGCTAATAGTCGGCATTTTAAAAATCATGTCAGTTTTTATGGCAAGTAACACAGGACGTGGGAAATTCCAAAGTACGAAGAACCAGTCGGAGAAAAGCAGGCCCCAGCTCTCTCCCCAAGGAGAGGGGCCGGGACACCGCCCGACAGGAATGGGCATGTCACATGTCCTCACAGGGGCTCTGCTGGCGCTGTCACAGCGTCGTCCCATGGAGGGGCTGTTGCCGGGCACATCCCGGCCCCCTTCCCAGGGCTGCCGTGAGCATCGTGGGCCAGACGTCTTCCTGAGCGTGAGCATCTCCCCTGAATTCCTGGACAGGAACCGAGTCAGGGCGCGTGAGTCACCATTTCAAAGCATAATTGCCAGACCCCCCTTTCCCGCCCTGCCCAGTGACATAGGGCCCCCCCACTCCCTGGTGCCCCCTGGGTGTTCCTGGTGCTGCTCACACCCGGCTGGTCTTCTGCTTGTGGAGGACGCCTGCCCCCATCTCCGTGGCCAGGAGACACAGGCCTGGGCTGAGGGACAACTGGGTGCTGGTGCCGGAGCTCTCAGCCTCGGTCCCCTCTCAGGCCCAGAGGCTGGCTCTGTCCAGGACTCTGCACGGTCACTTCCTGGCTGATCCCTCCTTCCTTGCATGTGTGGCTAGATTAGGACTCTGGTGACGCAGGAAGTGGCCGAGCCGACCCCTCCCCCTCTCCAGTTGACTTCGTCCTCCCGGACTCCAGCTGGCCCTGGTGCCCCTCCTGCTGCCAGACCTGCACCCCACCACAGCGGCCAGCCCCGACCCCAGGGCCCAGCCCTGACCCCAGTGTGGGGCTCCCCCACGCAGGACAGGGGGAGTGTCTGTGTGGCAGGGACACCGCCGAGTGCCACCACCCACCTGAGCCTGCTTTTCATGTGCACAGAGGGTGCCCATCGGGTAGTGCATAGTGTCCCCACAGAGCGCCAGGAGCAGGGATGTGGGGGCTGGAAGGGAGGGGAGGGGACCCTGGAAGGGTGACAAGGTCCCTCTCCCTCAAAAGTCAACCAGAGTCACACCTGGGGTCCCAGGCGGAGGGAGGGGCAGGAAGCAGCAGAGGGGCTCTGAGAACCAGGCCCAGGGCCGCGGAGGAGCCCTGACCAGGGCCCCCATGGCAGAGGTGGCCTCCTTGGGGTCCCTCGGTCACTTTCAGCAGACCCGACCCTCACAAGGGGGCTCCCCCTGCGGCCCCTCACCTTGACCCTGCAGAGGACGAGTGGGACAGCCCTGGGGAGGCAGTGACACGCTGGGGCAGTCCCCAAGAGGACTTGGGGTGCTCTGGGGAGGGGGTTGCTCACCTGCTTTTGACCTCTGACCCAGCAGGGAGGCTGGGCTCTTGTCCTCCCACCACAGACAGGAAATGGGGGTGGCCTCAGGAAGGACTGAGTGCCCTGATGGGGCAGGGACGTGGCAGGCCAGACTGCCATCCAACAGGAGCTGTGGACGTGACTGGCCAGCAGGATGTAGCCACTCGGCCCGCAGATGCTTCCTGGGCTGGACAGCTTGGGGGGAGCTGCGGCCGGGTCCCCCTCCGTCTCGCTGGCCCAGCACCCGGGAGTGCCCCAGCCCGGTCCTGAGGACTCCCACGCCTCCCACAGGCTCCCGGGAGCAGCTGGGCCGTGGGCTCGGGGACGGCCGGATCCACGCTCCGGAAGCAGAGGGGGTGGGTGCGAGGCAGGAAGCCAGGAGGCAGGCAGCACTCAGAGCTGGAGCCGACCTGCGGGAGCATGCGGGGGCTGCTGCTGTGGCCCCTGGTGCTGGGGCTCGGCCTGGTGGGCGACAGCCAGACCCCCAGCATCTACGACGAGGGCGGGAGCACAGAAGAAGGCGACGGTGAGCCACCTGGCCCCCGGGGTGAGGAGCGGGCGTCCGGCAGAGATGGAGCTGGGTCCCCAGAGCTGAGGGGGAGATGGGGATCGTGGGGGCACTATCCGCCCAAGGCCACCCTCTGTGCTGGCCTTGGCCCCGCCAGGCTGGGCGCTGTTCAGAATTGTCCAGCTTTATCCTGCCCTCCCAGGGGATCCTGGGGGCTGGGGCTGGGACGTTCTGGCACCCACGGCCCCAGGGGCTAGTGGGGGTCTGGGGTGAGGGACACCTCGGGCACCCGCGCCCCCTCCCTCCCTGGGAGCCCTGGCTGACAGCGCGTCCTCTCTCCCCCAGAGGGCACGCTGGGACCCTTGCCCAGGCCCGGGGAGGTGGAGCCGGAGCAGCCTCACCTGCGCAGCTTCCCGGGCCAGCCCTGCGCCAATGACAGTGACACGCTGGAGCTCCCAGAGCGCTCCCGGGAGCTGCTGCTGGGCTGGGTGCCCACCAGGCTGGTGCCCGCGCTCTACGGGCTGGTCCTGATGGTAGGGCTGCCCGCCAACGGCCTGGCGCTCTGGGTGCTGGCCACGCGGGTGCCGCGGCTGCCCTCCACGGTGCTGCTCATGAACCTGGCCGCTGCCGATCTGCTGCTGGCCCTGGTGCTGCCGCTGCACCTCACCTACCGCCTGCGGGGCCAGCGCTGGCCCTTCGGCGAAGTCACCTGCCGCCTGGCCACAGCCACCCTCTACGGCCACATGTATGGCTCTGTGCTGCTGCTGGCCGCCATCAGTGTGGACCGCTACCTGGCCCTGGTGCACCCCCTGAGGGCCCGCAGCCTGCGTGGCCAGCGCCTGACTGCCGGGCTCTGCGCGGCTGCCTGGCTCATGGCCGCCGTCCTGGCGCTGCCCCTGACCCTGCAGCAGCAGACCTTCCGGCTGGCGGGCTCCGACCGGGTGCTCTGCCACGACGCGCTGCCCCTGGGCGCCCAGGCCTCACACTGGCGGCCGGCCTTCATCTGCCTGGCCCTGCTGGGCTGCTTCCTGCCACTGCTGGTCATGCTGCTGTGCTATGGGGCCACCCTGCGCACCCTGGCGGCCGGCGGCCAGCGCTACAGCCACGCGCTGCGGCTGACCGCCCTGGTGCTGGCCTCGGCCATGGCCTTCTTCGCGCCCAGCAACGCGCTGCTCCTGCTGCACTACTCCAACCCCAGCCCGGACGCCTGGGGCGACCTCTATGCCGCCTACGTGCCCAGCCTGGCCCTCAGCACGCTCAACAGCTGCGTCGACCCCTTCATCTACTGCTACGTGTCCCTGGAGTTCAGGGACAAGGTGCGGGAGGGGCTCTGCTGCCAGCCGCCAGGGGCCACCACGGCCTCCAAGGCCTCCGGGGAGGTGGGCAGCTCTGGGTCAGGCACCCACTCCTCTTCAGTCCCGTGACACCCTCAGGAGGGTGGCCAAGGGGGAAGGGGCCACCTGGGGG